GAATACACAAAAATATTCATTAAAAACGGTTTAGGACTTTAATTACAAATTAAGGATATACTCATACAGTAACAGTCAATAAAAACCTCAACGACATTTAAAAATTAATCTTCTATCTATATATTTGATAGCAAAACATTATATTACTATGCTTATGCATATTTTTGAAGTTATACTTCTTTACGATGCGCGCGCACCGTGACACAAAATTAGGAGTGTGATTATAGCGTGCGCGAGCGAGATAGGAATAAGACAATCTACAAGTAAAAAGAAATAGAATATGCGTGAAGTTCGTATGCCAAGAATTTTGAATGACCATAATGACATTTGTCATTTACCTTTTAAACAAATAAAGGAGTTTTAATTATTTTTTCAAAGAAATTTAGCAATGCTTTTTGAATTATATATAATCAGAAGTGATTTAAATTGAATATTTAAACCAATACTAATTAATATTTGTGAAAAAACTGTGCTCATCAACCTTCCTAAGTGCTTCATTACAATTGAGGTTAACTATCAGTTTGTATTATTATTATCGAGTAATGTTTTGATTAAAAAAATTACCACATTGTTTAATCAAAACATGTAATTTTTCTCTAGCAAATATAAGGACAAGAGACAAAAAACAATTGATGAATCAGTGTAAGTGCACTAAATTGAATACAAAAAAAGAGTTGTCATCTTATCGCTGTGAAACATCAAAAACTGGAGGTGGAACAAAGCCAAACTATTTTTAATAATGCCAAAGAAGTATAACTTCTTACGCGCGTACATAAGTACACGCACCCTTTTTTTTCTTATTATATATTAGGTCCTTACATATGAAATTGGCGTTTTGTATGGGAGGAATAAACAAAAAGTCGAATATTTTTAAATATAATATATTTAATTAATCAAAGTATGAACCATTGTTTTCTATGCACTTTTGCCATCTCATAGGTAGTTCATTGATCCCTTTACTAAAAAAAACAGTCGGACGGGAATCAATAAAATCTGTGAAGGCGATTTGGACTGCCCCATCAGAGTTAAATTTTTTCCCTTGCAAGAAGTTGTCCAAATTTCGAAAAAAATGTTAATCTGTTGGAGCAAGGTCCGGGGAGTACGGAGGATGTCTTAGACATTCCAATTGAAGCTCTTCTAATTTGGTAGCCGTCTGTTGTGCAGTGTGTGGTCTAGCGTTGTCGTGAAGTAGCAGTGGCGTGGAGCGATTGACCAGCCTAGGTTGTTTAGCCGCTAGCTTTTCCATCATGGTTTGCAATTGCTGACAATAGACATCAGCCGTAATAGTCTGGCCAGATTTGAGAAAACTGCAATGAACAATACCGGCACTAGTCCACCAAACGCTTACAAGTAACTTTTTTGGGGTTAATTTTCGCTTGGGGCAGGATTTGGCTGGCTGGCCAGGATCCAACCATTATCGTAAAGATCCATTTTTCATCACAGGTAATGATTCGGTTTAAAATACCTTCATTATTGTGCCGGTTCAGTAATGTAACGCAGCAGTCGACGCGCGTTTGCCGGTTTGCTTCAGTCAATTCGTGAGGTACCCATCTTTCAAGCTTTTTAATCTTCCCAATTTGCTTCAAGTGAATTAAAACAGTTTTATCACTAACACCGCAGCCTGCAGCTAACTCGGACGTGGTTTGCGATGGATCCGCTTCCACAATAGCCTTCAATACTTCATTATCAACTTGGGTCTCAGGCCGTCCACGGGGCTTGTTCTGCAGGTCGAAATTTCCAGAACGAAAACGTTGGAACCAAAAACGAACTGTGTTTTCTTTTGCAACATGACCGCCATACATATCATTCACCCTTCGAGTCGTTTCCGCAGCACTAGTGCCACGGCGGAACTCGTACTCGTAAATAATGCGATACTTTAAAAAAAATGAATGACGGTCATCGAAGCACAAATACATGAGTAAATAGCTGTACAAATTTGAATTTGGAATTCCTTACCAAAGAGGAGAACATCGTGATTAAAGTGGCCAGTACGAAATACGCCAATTTCATATGTAAGGACCTAATATTTCTCTTTCTCATTAAACCTCCCCTAAACTTCCACAAATGTTTCAAGATCAAATTGGTCCAGCCATTCTCGAGTTTTAGCGTGACAAACAAACAGTAATTAGTTTTTATATATATACAGCTATCAGTAGATATATACTTATACGATGTAAATCTTATTAAGAAAAGTCGAGAGAGATGCATTGGAATACAAGACTATTAAAAAGGTGAAAATAAGCAAAAGTTTTCCAACCAGAACAACGTAAAAAGCATTGGCACTCAGTTTGTGTCCAGCATTGTACTCAAATATTGTAAAATTGTTTTATTCCATGAGAACAATTTGAAAGCCGCTTCGCGTTTAATCTTCTTTATTACTTAGTTTTTCTTTTGCGATGAGCTTTTATTCTTAATCTCTGTAATTTGACCTTTTGTAAATTTTTAAAATTTCGCTTTTTATTTATTTAGAGATGCCGGTCAAATTGAATTACGCTCTTCTGTCACGTGGTTTTACTTTTATATAATTGATTTAGTAACCACTTAACATGAGAATTTTGCGCTTAATTAAACTGTATCAAACAAACCAATCCTCTAGCTACTGTTGGTGCCAAGAGAAGACATTCTACATGAATCGCTATGTTATATTAGTGCGAACATTTGAGGGTAGTTTAGAAACAAATGCTTCAACAGTTTAAAACCATAAACTTTGCCTACTAAACTGTATATACCGAATTACACAAATAACTGAGTCGAAACAAACACTGCTACTGCAAAACCACGCAAGAATTATTTTATTTATATAATATGTATTAATACCTCTTACAGTGACAGCTACCGTCATTTTATGTTAATTTATGTCAAAGCTCCATGAAGTATTGTATCACCATAAGAATTGTTTTTTGCTAAAGGGCACGCGATTGCTATAGTCTATGGCCTTTTTCTATTTCACTCGACAATTTTCTGTGCACGTTTGGCGCCATCCTTTAATGTTATATACTTTCCTATTTTTCTCGTAGGTGTTTAGTGTCAGGGTAATATTAAATAAAATTAATTTAACTTAACTTGCTAACCTGTTAAAAATTATTAGTGCACTGAAATAGATTCGTCGATATCAATTAAAAGATTCACGTTGAAATATTGAAGTCACTCACAGGTAAGTTTCCGTTGCGGAGTCCTTTTCAACATTTTATAGAATTAATTGGATACCATTTTACTTGAGTCGAGTTTTTGTTGCCTTCGTTAAAGGGCTAGAGAGGGATTGTAGCTTATCGATAATATCATGACGACAAAGATTGTATATAAAAGTAGGCATAGGCAATAATTATTATTAGAGTATGAGACAATTTCCTAAACTTTAGAGCAATATGGGGACTAAATTTATTATTAACATGACAATTACTATTTTTAAAATAAAATTGTTAAAATGTATATTTCATCATAATTAACCACAAAAAAACAACAATATCGATAGTTGATATACTTCACTAGTCCTAAATACGATTTCTGTAGTAGGCTGCGTTGAAGGTATATTCAAGTCGTGGATTTTGCGAACTGAAATTTAAATCGAAGGGCTCCTAATGAAACCGTAAGCCCCTACAAAAATAATATTTCTATAATACAATCTTATAATAATCTTAATTTAATATCTTTATTATATTATTACTCATTATGGCATACATTGACCCTAAGCCCTTTTTAAGGTTCCATACATATGTACTTACACAGGCTTTAATAACTTGTTACGAAGTATTTATATAATCATTTATTATGTGTTTTGTGAAACTTGCTTAGGCAAATGTCAATATTATTAAAGTAATGTATAACTAGCCTCAGGGAAAACATAATTGTAACCAAATATTAACCCTATTTTTAAACTTTCCTGCGGAGGCCCCAAGCCGAATTCCACTCAGGCCTTTCCCAACATAACCCGACCATATTTTTGCGACCTTTTCCCGCAGTTTTATTTTTAGATTCTGTTTAAAGCGTGTTTTAGACATTTTTCTCTATTAAATGTGTCTCAGACAGAAAGTCAAGGATCGGATTTTTATTTTTCAGTTTAAGGTTTCCTATAGTATTTGCTGAGTATAGCAATTTATTCCATTTAGTTTTATTTTCTTTACCCTTTGAATATTAATTATTCAGACTCGCATTATTTGTTCGTAAAGATAGACTCGTACTGAATACATTAACTTTGAATCATTCGAAGCTGTTGAATATATTTAGTTTTAATGAGAAACTGTTTTCTGATTTATCTTGTTAAGGATAAGTTCAAAGAATTTGGAACAGAATTTTGATTTTTGTTTTCCATTTTATGCTAAGATAAAGTTCTGAGATATTTTGTTCTTAGTTCTTTAAATAGTTTCGCTTTGGTTAAGGCAAAGTTAGAAAATGCAAAAATATTTATGGAAAAAACATCGGTGTATTTTTAAAGAAGTAAATTCTTTCCATAAAATAATATTGGTACTGATTTCAGCTTAAAGTGTGTGTAGTTTATTGATGTTTTGATTTTGTTCCATGTATCGCAGCAAAAGGAAATGGAATCGGTAAGCTTTTTCACCATTTTTACAACAATGCGATAATTTGATTTATTTAACTTATGATGACCGATAACAATGACAATATATTTATTTTATTATCTGCATTTTAGCATCGTTTAAGCAATTCATCGTCAAAGCAATCGTTACTAAGGTTTGCTGGTAACGATAATAATAAAATAAATTAGTGACGCTCAACCTTTTTTTTGGATCTGGGCCTCAGATTTCTGTATTTTTTTCATTTGTCAACCTAATAGGCAAGTCGGTGATCAGCCTCTTATGCCTAACACCTGCCTTCGTTTTTTGGTTAACGCACATAAAAATAAAGTCCATTGGTGCACAACCGAGGATCGAACCTACGCTCGAACTTACAGGGTTGAAAGACGCACGGTGAAGCCACTTGGCCAATACTGGCGACGATAAAAGCCATCCTATTAATAAATTTCAAGGAAATCCATGAGTAAAATGATTGTAAATTTTCAGAGTGATACCACAGTGGCCACCATGTCTAATCTGACGTTCGAAGCGACGCGGTTCGAAAACGGACGCAGGTTCATTTGCAAAGCTGTGAACGACGCTATGAGAGACAACAATGATCATCCCATTCATGCCACGAGGGAACTAGAAGTTTGGTGTAAGTTAAACGACATCGATGAAGCTTTGATAACTTTATTGTGGAAGATTAATCTAAGTGTACTCGATGTCCGACGTGAAACCTAAGATACCTCATTCTTGGTTGTAACATACATTTCCTCGATTGACTATAGCGCAAGTAAAAAAGGATATAAAATAAATATAATAAGGAAATTATTATTTAAAATATATATATAATATCTTCCAAATTCCTTCTGCCAAAACCAACCTAGGAGTTCAGGCACCTCTCGTTCGAATTCTTAGTGATTTTAACAAATTGAACACAGCTTATCCGAAGCTGAATATATTCGGTAGTGGGCTGATCGGTTTTAGAGAAAGCATTGAGGGGTGCCTTTCTCGAACCTAATTTCGCTGTTTTTCTGATGATTTTTCTTTTTTTTCTGCTTAGTACCAACAATTTAATGAAATTTGTTGAAAATTTTATTTTATGTTTATGTTAAAAAAATTTTTTATTTTAATGTGTGCTTGTATTGTCGTGTGTGTTGTAGTTGTATTTTTTTTTATTTATTTCCATTTTTTTTTTTTGAGGAACTTATGCTTGCATTGATTGCCGCACATTTTGGATGTAAGATTTTGTGAAATAATTGGTAGATTTAGGACTGTGTGTGATGTCGTGGGCTGGATAACTAAATAAAAAAAATAAAAAAAAAAGTATACCAGCGGCGTTACAACCGTTGGTCTGGCCTCAAATTGAACTTCACCTAGCCTTCTGCGCCATTACCCACACTGTTATTTGTTTGGTTTTCCTTGAATCCTCACGATATTGTCTGTATGTTTTTACCACTCGAGTGAGTGTTTAAAGGGTATAAAGAAATCTTTGCTTGAACATTGGCAGGGTACGAACCCACATCCTCACAATTAAGTAACACTAGTTTATTATTTTCCGAACGTATTCTAGTCACTCGACACAGTGTTAATAATATATTATTGAATACTTCCAGACCCGCCGATCGTTCACGTGGGCCCGCCCAACATAACGGTAGTAGAAGGCACCAAGATCCTACTCAAGAGCGAATATGAGAGCAATCCGTCATCCCTCACTGAAGTTGTATGGTATGTACAGCATTACAAAACATCGTTAGGGCTGCCTACCTCTGCTGATCGTCTGTACTCTTAATGCAAATGCAATATCCTGATAGAAAACAATAAAGATGTTAATATTTGAATATCGAACGGTAAAATTATAAAATGGACATAATGTATGGAATACCATCTAAAAAGGAATTAACGTTTGTAACCCATAACCTAATTAAAGTAATTAGATAAGAGAAACTGAGTAGTCACATGTTTCAGAGTGTGACAAAATCAAAACTTCATATCAATGAACATTAGTTAACGACACCCCTGCATAAATCGCATGTAACGAGATTCGTACGGATTTTCTTTTAAATATTAAAGTTTCAAACTGAGCACATTACAGTAAGTATTCTTTACAACTAAGAACATGTTAAGTCCCAGTTAACCTAGGCCATAAAAGCGGAACTTTTCAGTAATTTCTCACGTGGCATTAGGCTTTTTAATCTCTAACGTATTTTAGCGGAACTTAGAATTTCCAACGTAATCTCTTTTGCTTTTGCTAATACAGTTTGCATTAAATATAGCACCTAGGGAAAAATTCATATTTAGGTACTTATAATTAGTTTATTACGTATTTATTATTTTACCTCACTCTACTGAATATATTTATATAAATCACTATCATTTATATAAATTGTGGAATGGCAAATGATTGAAAAAGTATGAGTCTGTTTTAACCAATTGTGTTCCTTGTACTGTTGAATAAACAATTGCACTTACTATGTTAATCTGTAATCAGATAGCTATCTCTATTTAGAAGATTTTTCAGATGTATGCATCTGACTCTGAAGTCGTTCGAGGGAAAACTCGACCTCTGTGATATTTTTTAAACTTTAATCACACAAATTTCAACCTCAAAGCTATCGTCAGCAAAGATAAACGGCGACAGAAGTTTATCTCGAAGCTCTCATCAAATTTTTTTGATTAAAACCTCGTTCATAGACTCACAGTATTTAGTTTGGGTATCTTGTTTGCAACATAAAAATGTTTACTATTTTTGCTTAAGATTTGTAACGGTTACTATTTTAAAAGTCTATTTTCGGCTGTGGCACGATTTTGCACAGTAAATCGACGGATTGTCAATTTCATTTGTGTGATTTCATAAAAAACAAAATTCCTCCCCCGGCCTCTGTTACTCAACATTTATACAACGTCTCTTGTAAATGTTATAACCCAAAAAAATTACAATAAAATATTAGTCGCTAACATATAAGGATAAATTTCTTAATATCAACATTACGTAGCTCTTCGCGCTGCGCGTGATTCACTCTTTTCTGAAAAATATCTATTTTTTTATTAATTATTATGATGACATTTAAGCGAGTGACTCGGTCATTCCTTGCTTCTGATGTGACCAACACGAAACTCCCATTATTTATTGTGCCTATACCTAGAGCGTGAGTCCGCTTCTTAAAAAAGTTAAAAGTTAGACTGAGAAAGGTTACCTGTTATAAAGCAATGGTACCGGGATGCGTAATGTGTTACGACTTTATCAAAACCATAAAGTTTAGCCGACATAATATCTTTATATTCTACTCAGGTTATAAGCGTCCAATTGTTTATAGGTATCGAAATGGCGAGCGTCTCAACGTAAACTCGAGCCACTACCAAGGAGGAAGCACGGACCAGCACGCGCTGATCATTCTCGATGCTAATGGAGATGATATGGGGAACTACACCTGTCTGCTCGCCAACGTCGTGGGCAACGGGACCACTGAGGAAATAATCAGCGTGAACGTACTATGTAAGTGTAAAATGGGATATAAACCGTAAATTATGCTATTTTACTGTTACTTTAATAACACCATACGAATGATTCCAGTCAAGCCCCAAGTTCGTCTAATAATGAATCCAGAGAGTCCAATACTGGAAACGGACCACAAGAATGTGACATTGACCTGCGAGGTGGTCTCTGGAAATCCCTCGGTGCTGGACGAGGTGATCTGGTACTTGGATGGGGAGGTGTTGAAGCATCTGCCCGAATGTAACGGGACCGACGGTATGTGCTTCATTCGTTATCTTTAAATTTGTTTTATCTCATAGATGTTCTAAATATGTTTTTATGAATAAAATGTTAGTTAAGCACATTTAACTCAAGGTTACAGTAATAGCGGGTGGTCATTTGATAAGAAATATGATAATAATATCGTCATCTTCGGTAGTAGGAACTGACAGCTTTGTTAAACAAATTTGTATTTTTGCTATTTTTATTATTTGTACATTGTACAATTATTTGCTTCCTATCCATCTACGAACACGTTTCAGATAACCTCTGCAACGAAGTGGACCCCTCAATGCTGCTCCTCCAAGACACGACCAAGAGCTTCCACGGCAACTACTCCTGCAAAGGCAAGAACTACGCCGGCTGGGGAAACGAGAGTCAGAATACTGAGCTCATCGTTAACTGTGAGTCGACATTGAAGCAAGCTTTTAGCCATCCTCTGTCGTAGTTTATAAATAAACAGGGTTTTTAGAATCCAGTATCCCTTTTCTGCCCTATAGAAATATTGTGTTACAGACCCTCCGGGAGCGGCCAAGTTGACTTACTCCCCTTGGCGAGTAGTGAAGGGCAAGTCCTTGGTGCTGAGCTGCAGCATCCAGGAGAAGGGCAGGCCTGAAGCCCACAGGTAGTTTATAACTACAGTAAATTTTGAACTCTGGGAAACTTTGTGAAAACTATTGAAAGCTGTGTTTAAAATATCTTGTGTATAAAATATATATGTTACTAAAAAATGTTGAAATGAACTTAATTAAATTACATTAAAATAGCTGATATCAATGCATAGAACAAATCCAAAGTATTCAAAAGTTTTCTGAGGAACTGTACGTATACGTGTCTTCAGATTCCGATGGCACCGCGGCGGGCGCGTGGTGAGCGACATCGTGTCCCAGAACTGGACCATCGACCCCGTGACCTTGGACCATCGGACCAACTTCTCGTGCCGAGGGGTCAGCGCGGGGGGCGAGGGCGAGCCCGCATTCGTCAACGTCGACGTCTTGGGTGACTTCTTTTGCGACACTCGGTTCTCAATTTTTTTTTAAACGGACAAAAACTTAATTTACAATTTTTGTTTCAGCGCCACCTAGTTTCAAATACGCGATGAACCACTATAGCGGAGCCTTATACAAATCACAAGTAATTTTATTTGTTCACTTATTACTGTTCTGTGTTTTTTGTTCAAATTACTCAAAATTCGGCTGTTTCACTCCTTAATCCGTTCCAGAATATATCCCTGTCGTGCACGGTGGAATGTGCGCCTCTGTGCAGCGTCCAATGGCTGAAGGACGGGCAGATCATCGACCCCGCCAAGACAGACCGATATTACGTCGTCGATCGGAAGATCCCTCCCCAAGTCAACAGGAACGACTTCGAGGCCACCGAATCTACGCTGGTGAGCCCCGTATAAACTTGAGTTAACGCTTGAGCCGATCGACTTTTAACAAGTTTACGAAATAAGCACGAATAATCCTAATAGATAATAAAGGCCCGATATAAGTCTTTGTTTTCTGATTGAATCCACTTTCTTAATCGTTTATATGTCATAGGCCATTAGACTTTTGTGCCCGGCACATGACGTCGACTGTTCGGTTTGAAAAATGCCACGTTTACTTTCACTGTGAGAGCAGGCATTCTTGCGCTCAGAGAATGAAATGCTCCGATCCCATTGAAAGTAGTCCAATGTGAAATAACGATTGCAGCACTGGAACATGTCTTCGTGGCCGGGCGGGGCTCTGTCCCGATCGTCGGACACGGCTCGCTACACGTGTCGCTCCTCGCGCAACGCCGCCGGGCCCCCGTCAACTCCACCACCAAGTTCGCCGTCGAGTGTGAGTGCCCTTCGTGCCCTTTGTGCCCTTGGCTGTTGTTAATTAGCATAATATTACTCAGTATTTATTTATGACCGGCCCCAACCAAAATCACTCATCGTAGACTTGATTTTACCTAAGTATGTTGCTGTTACTAGCGATTTTATGAAATATTGTGTATTTTACGAGTTATTTAAATAAAAAGCATTTGGCGTTTACTTCATTTTTGTTCCGCGAAACACTGTATCGTGAATCTCATGTCACGCGAACTTCAGACGAGAACACTCCGCTTTTTAGCGCCAGCGCTCGATATAATATTATAATTAACACAAGTAAAATAAAAACTAAACTTAACACTTTTGAATTTATAATATTAGTAATAAAACGTAATTATTTAACTTAAAAAAACTATGAAATTTCAAATCAAACCGCGTAGTATATATAAACAAAACAGAATCTACTTTATTTTATTTTTATTATGTGATACCTATATGATGTTTTTTGCCACTGTTATTAATAAATAGATAAAAAAAATCAATGAATACTGTACAGCTTGCTAGTTAGTGGACTGTGAAAAGTGTGTTTAAACTTTATATGTATTGAATGTCAGGAGTATCTGAATAGTATAGGTAATGTATGTATGAGCAAGCTGCACTAGATGACTAAATATATGAGAGGGTGAGACGTAAGAACCTAACAACCCTACGGATCCCTAAGCCCTACAGACGTACCCTAACACATAAATAGTGAATATATAAATATATAAATAAGTACGGGAAGTCTGCACCAAGAGACCTAAGGTAACAGACGGAGCCATACGGGTAGGATCAAAGGTTCAAGGTGGTGGGATTATCTCAAAGCTACCGGGCAGGCTCACCACGATAATTAAGGGCTTGAAGTAGTCTTCGCCACTTTGAGAGGAAGCGAGAAATGAACAAGACAGAGCAATATTCAAATCTGATTTATTGTTATAAAACAATATCTTAAATACTAATTACACCTATTGACACATACATGATATTTTTCTAGTGAGCTGTTGGTGTATCGCGCAACCTCAGCTATTAAAATTTGGAATACATATGAGCCGTGTCAGCAGCTGATGAATATTTAAATAAAATATAATTAAAATTGCTATTCAACTGCTAATATTTAGCACACACCGGATCCATGTCAGCAGTTTGTTGATGTTCAAATGATGAAATCTGAACAAATACTAACAATGGTTTAAATGCAATAGAAGAAAAATCTCGTTCTTATAACTTTTCATAGCATAAGTATGTAAAATAACACACAGACAGTAAATTTTTTTAAGTAACTTATGGCTTATTATTATGGAGTCATGCATGCTGGAAACTATTTTCATCCTGCAGAAGAGGTCTATTTGTGCAATCTATAATTTAAGGGAATCTCTGAGAGATAAATGCAAGGAAATTAATATACTTACCTTTCCCTCGCAATATATTTATGAAAATATTATGTATATGTACAAAAATAGTGATAAGTTTACTAGAATAGAACATACGCACAATGTTAATACTCGGAACAAACGTAGGCTGCAATTTCCTTGTACTACTATCTAAAGTTAGTCATTCTTTTTTGGTAAAAGGGATATTCTTCTTTAATAAAATCCCAGAGGCTCTTTTATCTCTGCCTTTTAATAAATTTAAGAAATTTATTAAAGAAAAGCTGTGTAAAAAGGCTTACTAAAAAGTTAACGATTATCTAGTTGATAAAAGGGGGACTAGTGCTAGACAGGCTACTTCTAATTAATTTGCGATATTTGTTTTAAAATAAGTGTTGTTTGATGATTTGCTATTTTAAAAGAGTACCGAGAGTTTTTTACGCCGGCTTTTTCTCTCGGCCTACATCGTCTCTCTTCTTTGCCGATGAGTGGGGATGCCTACAGATTCTAATTTTACGACGTGGAATAAGTGATACCTGTATCTTATCTACCATACTAAACGTATTTTTTTTATATATAATAGTTTTTTTTTAATCGGTATAGAAATTACTCTTACAAACAAACAAAATAAAATATTAGCTTTAAATTTTTATTATATTTACTAGAATAGATAATGTTCGGCTCTGACAAAAAAATACACTTAGGCCCAGGTGAGCCGGTTTGCACGCGGTGCCCTTTTTGGTATGGGGTTACACTTTTCTCGTGGTTAATCTGCATTATGGTTAATTGCATATACTACGCACCGTAAAAAAATGCCCACGAGCGGGCCGGAGGGAGACGCGCGCGTGAAATCACATTTTGCTAGCCTACAACGCGCTTTAAAGAAAATATTGTATTTTCATTTAATTAATAGTTTTTAAATCTATTTTCAGATGAACCGGAAAATATAACGGTGATGCCTAAAGTGGTTTCAGTGATCGAAAACGAAATTCCAGCCAAAGTCGTGTGTTCTGCGAAGTGAGTCAAAGATATATTTTCATGTTAAAAAGCTCAATAAAACCGACGCTAAACGTAAAAGCGCCATCTCTTAGATTCGATTGTAATTCAGTCGACAAAGTATTAAACCAAACCGTCGACTAAATATTACCCGAAAATTGGGTGAACTCATAGGTCAGTTTCCTCCTAGCCCTCGTTCCCTTGGCATAATCCATCCGATTATTTTCAGGGGATTCCCCATGCCCAGCTACAGTTGGCGTCGCGAGCACCTCACGAAGAGCTCGGCCAAGGAGCACTCGAACCGCTCCTTAGTGCTGTCGTCTTCAAACACGCTGCTGCTGGGGCCCATCGCGAGGAAGGACGCGGGCAACTACGTGTGCGAGGCCTACAACAGGCACGGAGCGGTCAACACTACGGTGTTCATGGACGTCATGTGTGAGTAGAGGACGTTCGACTGGAATCCTTTTATCTCCTTTTACGTCGTCTCCTGGTGAAATAACCTGGGTACCTTGTCCCTACTCCCCTCTTCGAAGACACTCTCCTTAAAGCCACAGCCACACCTAGTCTTGAGATATCGAATGACGTTCAGTTTCGTTCAGTCATTTGAAAAGAAAGGCTAAACTGTTCTCACCTCTGGGCGGGAGATTCCCAGGACGGGCTCCTTTCGCTTGACCATATTTAATGCAGAGCAGGGTTCGAATCGTCGACGACCAGTCACTTTCCGAGCGGCTTGATCCCTTGGGGCTGCGAAGAGATGTGGGGTCTCTCTGACATTTACCATGGAGAATGTTCAGAGGAGTTGTTCGGACTAATTCCTGCAGCTGAGTTTCATTTTCGGATGAATACAAAATACTATCCACATCACTCAACGTCCTTCGTTCCACAACTGAGCGTTATTTAAGACAGTTTTTGACGCGACCCTATAATCTAATCTGGAACCAGCTGCCCACTGACGTATTTCCGAACCAATTCGACTTAGGGTCGTTCAAGAAAAGAGCGTCCCAATTCTTACAAGGCAACGCACTAGGGAACCCTCTGGCAAGATGATCTATCACTTAACATCAGGTGGTAACTTTTACTTAACGTCAGGATAAAATAATAATAATTTATTTTTTCGCGACAGTCGTCCCGGAATGCGGCATCAAGCAGCAGGAGGTAGACGGGCAGCAGTTGCTGGTCTGCACGGCTCACGCCAACCCCACCGAGGTCAGATTTCTCATTTTATCTCTAGTCTGTCTGCATTCTCGAGCGTATTTCTCACGAACCGATAAACAGGTCTCCTTCACGTGGAAGCTGAAGAACGACAACGACACGCTGACCGACGAGAAGATCTGGTCGGAAGGAGCTCAGAGCTTCCTCCGTCTGCGGTCCGGAGTGGACGTGTACCGGACGTACTTGTGCGTCGCCTCCAACGAAGTGGGCGTCTCGAGGCCTTGCGAAAGGGACGTCATGGGTCAGTCTCATTCATTAATTTGTTCGCCGAATCATTCTTGGCGATACATTCATACATATAAGCCATGGCGTTGTCAGCGTTGAAGAGAATTTGTTGCGTGCGTACACTTTATACATATTCGTTGATTATTCTTAATAATAAAAATTACTTAAACGAATCCATCATTTTGTCAATAATTACTTAATTATATACTTTCAAAAAACCGAATTTTTATATCTATTTTTTTCTTAATTCACAGCCAACTTGGATAGTTATAGTAAGTGTATATTGAATTAAAATTCTACACATTACAAAATCTGAATCTGATCTTAATTCTACGAATACCGGGAATTAACTTAACATTTGAGATGAATTAATTTGCGATGAATTGCAGGCACTAAGGTTTGGTGGCGCGATCGCCAGAAGTTGTTCCTGATCGGTGGAATCGCGTTAGCCCTGCTCCTCATCACCGTGATCCTGTGCATCATCATTATCTGCATCTGCCGACGCATGAGGGCCAAATCCAAGTGTAAGTCTTTTTAACTCTCGTGTTTGGCGATATGTGTCAGTGTTGTGCAAATACCTCATTTCTCGAGTCATTTACTCTCAAAACTCTCTATGGAATATATTATATTATAATGCACAAGTGTTTGTATCGGGACACAGTAATCGCTTGTTTATTTAAAGATTTTTGAACAAATCTAAACCCGTACATTAACATAAATTATAAAAATGCCTTCAGAAATGAGGTTCAATGTTTTTAATAATCCTCATCAATGTGAGTGTTTCTAATGAAAATTGTCTTTTGTCTATTCCCGGATGCCGCCCACTAACAAACCAACCCACACGTTGGATTCACACTAACGTTTAGACAATAATCCAGTCGAGCTGGAAGAGCGAGAGAAGTAAGTTTTCCTTTTTTTTTCCGGCCTTCGCTATGTATCGTAATATTCGACATTATTTTATATATTTCCTATAACGGTAGAAGTATCGGTGAAAGTTTGAATAATGAAAATATCGGCTCAAACGACACGAAAGATAATTTAGTGCGATCAAATGTAATCTGTGGGTCGAAATTTTTGTTATTAACCCTTCACAAAGTATCACATATCGTATGTATCCTGAGTATATAAAATTTTTCAGCGCCCTTGGTCCGAGCTGATTCTTGGCACACGTTGTCTATGCCTCCCCGATTCTAAAGGTCTCGTTATTGTTTGGTGCGCGTGCGTTTGAGCGTTTGGACCAATGGCTATTCGTTGAGGACTAATCGTAGAACGCATGGCTCCGGGCTCCTCGTCGGTGCCTTGCTTGCGATCGCGACTCCGTTGCTTCAAAACTAATCTTTTTTATGTGGAGAGTCGATTCCGAGTGAGGTGCCGGTGGGAGACCTGTAATCCTATATAATGGTCACTTCCAGAAATACTATCATTTAAATAATGTTATAAATATTTTTTATACAGCAAACATAAAAAAAAATTGAATTGAGTTTCGTAAAAATAGTTCTAAATTAAAAAGGCACTCTCGCTTTAAAGACTAAACTAAATGAATAATAAATCATTGTATTGTAATTAAACCATTAAACTGAAGTGACCCTTCCCTAACCGTATGATAGAACCCTAACTCTAAACAATTAACACTAAAGTAACATTTTTGGGATCAGTTTTCATACACTTTCTACCGAATGAATTATATCTAAACCGATATACTCACATCGAATGTTTCCTCAAATAGGTTCCTAACCGCATTAACACCAGATGTCTTAAGACTGACAACCATTAACAACTCAGGTATATAACTAACAAGTATTTCGCTGGAGAATGCTTTCTCGTCGAAGCTCACTTATGTTTTGCCTTGTTTGAGATTTTCGTAGATTTACATTCTAGGAGACTGACTCGATCACTGCATGATTCTTTGAAAGCATTCTTCTATATGTATGTTTAATTATTCTATTTATGTATTGTAGGTCTTTTGTAGTCTATGCCTCAGTTTATATCGACATCCTTTTATGTTTTTACTTACTTTATTTTGTAGTATATCTTTATGCTTTCTATTAACACGATCGTATTACTTTAACTTTAACCGAACGTCATCATCTTCACAGTTTACCATTCTAACGTTGTAATGTTTTGTTCAATTAGTCCGGACGGTAGCTGTATAAACGAGGTGTCCATAGCGCAGTCCATAATATCGCAAGCTTTGCCCGCTTTATCGCCGCGACTCAATCTGTCCTTCGGCCCGAAGACCTCCGATAGGACCAGACTGGTCGATTCGCAGAACCCACATTTAGAGATGAGAGTTCACGATAAATCTTCAAATAGCTTGCAAGCCAGCTTGTCGCAGTTAGAGGCGACGATCAACGCGAACAGAGCCGACGGGAGCGAAGCGGAGACTATAGCGGACGACGAGAACGACAGAGTCGAGCCTCTCTCGTCGCCGAACAAGTGGCCTCTGAAGCCCGGCGTGCTCGTTCACGTCAACTCGAACCACACTTTGAGTCCCAAAAACCCTGCCAGACTTCATAGAGCTCGACCGGCTCGAAACGAAGAGAGCGACTTAGGATTGTTAGAGCGAAAGAGAAACGACGAAGTTAAGCCTAGGACTGAGCGTTCTAAGAAGAGCGGGGGACCGCTCGCGGGGATGTTTAAGAACTTTAGAAGAAAAAGCGATTCGTCGGACGACGACGCCGGAAAGTACAAGAAGATCAACAAAACGAACAAGAGGGCCGTGTCTCTGATGAGTATCAATAAGAGTTGTGGACCGAAAAGAATAAGATCTCTGTTTCAAAGCGAAACTCCGAACGTAATCGTTACCGAAGGAGGTAGATATTTTGATCAATTATTAAGCCGACATTTTACCGTACACGATGATATTGCGTATCACTTATTTATTTCTTATACTTTCATAAACCATTACATTTCACCGACACGTGACAAATTCTAATGCACTCGCTTGGTATGCAACACCGCTCGTAGTTTGATGCCGCTTTTCTCTGTTTATGACTGCTTCGAATAATTTTGCATTTTTTGTCGCTCTTTGTTGATTAATGGCATGTTTTAGTCGTATCCTTCAAAAGGCCTGACAGAATGTGCGTAAGCGCTAGAATTGAACCTCTCAAAGAGACGCAGCAAAACACGAGGAAACGGAAAAAGCCTGGCGACAGTGAGTACTTGCCCGCCATTCGTATATATGGTCACTTTGTAAACCTTTTGAAACATTTACACAATTTGTTATTATACCCAAATTTCAGTGTGTTAAAAATACGACAATTATTTAAAAAAATACTTCCCTACTATTTCAGGCAATTAAGTTTATTTATAAATACAGCGCTTGTCTATATTTTAATATATTTTTAAATTTTTTTATTTACCCTCCATAAAGATCGTAAATAGTATTTTTGGGTAAAATTTCCGATAAGTCGAAATCGCAGAATTAGAGCCCCTTTAAGTTGACTCTGTTGGTTTATTAAAATTATCTAAAATAATATTATTTGTCTCGAAGGCCCTCCTTCGAATGGCGTAGATAATGCGGCCAACGGAGCTCTGGGAACGGACAACCCCGGTCTCTATGAGAACCTGCCGTTCCACGGATTACAACAACCACCCAACAAGGTACGATTTATTTGTTCACCGTTCTAGTCTTCACTGCGGCTTTGTAATGTTCATAATTTGCCGTTTTATTAATAGAAATTAAAACCAAAGATTTGTGCTTTCAGTCCAGTATGAAGACATTATTAAATAATTTGCAACCACGTCTTTCGTTTACTTTAAGTAGTTGATATATTTTTATTTTCTTTTTGCATGTTTTTATTTTTTTGTCGCTTCATTGATTAATTTGCATTTGTTTTCTTTCATGTTGTCTTGTTTAGCCCGTGCAAGCCATACAACCCAGAGTGGTCGAACCTAACAAAAGAAAGGGCATGAGTGTGGAATCATTACAAAAGCAACTCACAACTAACCCTTCGTTCGCTCCGAGAGTGGTCTGTCCGCCTTTCGTTCAAAACCCCGTTACGTGTCCGCTGAGTCCGTCGGACTCGTTGTCCACGTACGGAATACCGGTTCTGTCGCCCATACAACAGATGTTTCCTCTTCAAAAGACCGTTCTACTCAATCCGTATCTCCCGCCGATGCCTAGCACTTATCTCAAACAATTTCCTACGATCGATGAAGAAATGGGGGAAGAATCGAGGAAATTTTGTTCCTTGAATACGCGAAACGTAAAGCTAAAACCGAAGTTTCAATCTATGAGAATAGTGAGGAAGAGAAACATTGAGAGATTTTATCCAAACACAGAATATGGAGAAAACTTTAATGAAATTAATAATAATAGTAAAAGTGGAGAAGGAAAAGACAAAGATGAAACGGACGACAACATTTACGAAAACTATCCGTCTCTAATGAAATTTAAATCTGACATAAGCGGAGTAGAGAAATTTGAAAATCTTACAGATTCCATCCAAGTATACGAGGAAACGTTGGATCAAAGTGAAATAAACGCATCTGCTACGTCCCTCGACAGGCCGATACCAGCCCCTAGAACTAAAATAACACCTTTTTCATCGCCGTTAAAATCAGATCATGTTTACGTTAACTTGTCCATGCCGTTAATTAATACCATGTCTATCAAATCGTTTGATACTGTAGACGCTCCAATCAGAAGCACTAAGTCTGAGGAGAACATATTATCGAAGTTTCCCACACTTCCAGTTAAGAAAAGCAAAGAAGATAATGTTATACCAAATAAAACTGTGGATCAGAATAGTTCTGACGAAGATGACAATGAAGAAAAGAAGACAGACCTCACTAAACCAAATATTGTCGGGGCTACTCCGAAAAGGATGTTGATGACTTTACCCTCAACTTCTTTAGTAAAATCCGTGGTGAACCAATTGAACGAGCAAAACATTAACAAAGTCGGACTGCCAAAGAAACAAGCGATAACTCCGACCACTCTACAAATACCAAAACTCGCGGAGAAACCGGTGCCAAAGAGAAATTTAAAACGTAGCAATTCCGTAACTAGTAGCGTAATGAGTAGTGAAGTAGACCAGGTAAATAGTAGACGCTTTTCATTCGCCTCAGCATTGTTTGTGTGTGACTAACCCTTTCGTTGTACATTTCAGAATACTAACATCCTCCAACACCAGTACCTTCAACAAAAACGGAATCACTTTCCGAACATCGCCCCAAAAGGGAAGAACAAAAAGAACTTCCAAATCCCTCTGCAGAAACACCACAGCTTCTGCTACTTCCAGCCGATCAGAGTGGACAAACGCATCCCCGTAGATCAGGAACGATCCTATAACAACACGATAGGTCCCGTGATATACCGACACGCGGACACGCAGTTCTATACGAAGACGCTCAACAGGAGCAGGGAAAAGAACGGTCAGCGGTCGAGTCGCTTAAAAAAGTCGGAAAGTCTGAGAGAGAAGCTGTCGTGCGTCGGAGTGTACGACAACTACGAGAAGCCGGACTATCCGGAGCCGGAGTACGACGACTCCGAGAGGAAGTCGTACCTCCAACTGCTGAAAGGCAACTACATATCCGACTCCTCCCGGCACATAGAGCCCGAGCGGTACAGCTCGAACCTGAACTCCAGGGAGGACAAACCTAGACATAAGAAATTAGTGTACGCGGACTTAGCGCTAGGAAACCATAATATGAAATTTAAAAATACCGTCAATTCTAATAGACATTTATACGACACGTACTCTATAAGTAACGATAGCGCTAACAAAGACACTAACAGTGCTCATAAGAATAGTGTAGGCAGTAGTCAAAGGAAGGGGCAGCCCCGGAGCGAGTACGCCACGCTCAAGTTTAACGAAATCGATGTCTAAGGTGAGTCTAGGGATCGTGCTTTTCGTGAGTACATCCTAAAGCAGTACTTAACTCGCAAGAGCCTCATTCAAAAGTAGTCTCGAAAATAATTTCCAAACATCGATAGCGAACACTCATGTAGTATGTCTGTATTAAACCGCTAAAGGCATGAACAGTGTTGTGACGTTTTGTTTTTTTTTTTCTAGGGACGCTTAGCTAAGAGTGACACGTACATTTACTAAAAGGTAATTTTTCCGAATTGTTTCGTGCTCTGTGCTTTATCGTAACTTGCGCTTTATTAAAATATTATCTATAATATGTACTAATTATCTTTAAAACCCGCCTCAATTATAATGACGACCACAGGTATTTTGCTGAAAAGCCTGAAAAGAAAACCTTTCTAAACTTTGGTACATGTATGTAATATGACAGATACGTTTAAAACGTAATAATTTGCTCTTTATTTGTATTTATTCCATCTCTATTAACTAGATGTTGTACTTTAATTTAAAAAATACATGTTAACTCTAAAATCTAAAATGGACTGGTTTTTATATAAAATAGTGTTGCCTTTGGCTTATACATATTTTCTCAGTTGCCAAATAATAGTATTTATTGCATGAATTGCAAGTTGTTACACGAATTATCTTAATAGTTATATTATATCCAATAATCATTTTAAAGATCAACGATTTTATTTTACAATCACTTTAGATTAGATTCATAAATGATTTGAGGCTCTTGTGAATAATTAATTATCTACTAGATAAAATTCTAATAAATATACGTTATTATCGATAAACATAATATATACTGATAATCTAGAAATATATGCGTGGTACAATATTGTAACTACCTATTTAATTATATTTGTGTATATACAAAACCTCCTTGAAGATAAAAATTAATATGACTTCTTAATCTACGCACGTAAGCGATAAACTTCAATGACTACACTATGTTCTAAAAGGTGTAGTCTAGAAAAGCGTCTTCTGTCTACGTGTTAGGGCCTAATCAACTCAAACTGCTACTATCGGTATATATATATATATACTTACATATTAATTATTGTTCCCTTGCACAGCCATTCCGGCCGGAGGACCATTTTGTATACGCCGATGTCGATATGAAGGATTATGGGCCGATCAACTACAAGGCGGCCTCCATCTACGCTCAGATGAAGAAAGTCAAGAATCAACAGAAATTACAAGAAATCCACGACAAAAACAACCCAGACGACGACATGTTGTGATCGAAGATATCTTTTACCAGAGTACCAAATTTACTAATCAATTTATTTAATTTTAGCGCCTTTTCTCCACGACAAAGACGTATCAACTTTTGTTGATAATTTGAAGCAATATCTAGAATTGCGACTGGCTAGTTAGCCAGCCACCAAATAAGTTATGAACTCAATATCTGCAATTAATACCTAAACGAAAATTATAACGCCGAAAAATTGTCGTGGAGAAAAAGGCTCGTCTGAAACGTCAGTGGTGACAATGTTGCATTTAATAATGGACTCCCATAAAAACCCCACCAAAGTGACCAAATTCGTGTAATTCTGATGTACGTCCCGCTTAAATAGTGATGGTGTTTCGTTAATGTTCGATAAAACTTGTATTCATCCTGTACTATGTTAACGTTATATCAGAGTCGTCTGATTGACAGTGATAGGACAGCGAAATACAGTTTAAAAACAAAATACAGACATTAAATGAAACACCTTCAATGCTATTTAGTTGAGTTTTTGTAGTAACAGATGGCGTATTCTTACAACCAAAGAGGGGAACCCCGATAAAGTAAATACAATTAATGTACAGGTTAGATGACAGTAGAGATATTGTAAATAAATGTAGTTTTCATAAAATGTACTTGATAGAGAACACACAACATGTGTTAGGGAATTTAGTCGTAAATCGTTGGTAACGTTAGTTTTGGCGTCGCTTGTCGTTCGACGTCAATTGCATTTCAAAAATGGTCAGTTACAAGAATTTAGATGTATGTTCGCAAATTCAAATTTATTTCAAAATTTAAAGATCGGTTAGGGCTTTAATACTATGACCGGTTTTTTAGTTTAACGTATTCTTTAATGAATCGAAAACCGCTTCTAACATTAAAGCCTCGGCCCATATCTGGCGTGACTTATCTTTGAATCTGTTCGTATATTTCCAAATAGAATTCTGAAAGTTAAGTACATTTTCCATACAAATTATTAGTCAATCGTGTTTAGATATCGACGCCAGATTCGGATCTGAGTCACGTTAAAGATACGGGTCCTAGTTCACACTCTCCGTCCAAGCGGGATTGTTTGATGTTAGCTGCCCCACGTTGAAGTCCTTAATGCAATGTTAGAAGGAAATGAAAATTCTAACATTTAAGTTTTTCAAGAAATACTCAAAGTTTAATACATTATAAGTATTTTTTTAATAAATTTTGCGTTTAACATTATTGTTAAATTACGGCTCCTAAGGAGTTACACGATTATCGAATTTGCTTTAAAACGTTATTTTTTAATATTATTAACATTTCATTTTGTTCCGTATCGTGACATTGAAAATTTATAAAATATTAATCTAGCTAAAAACCCTAACTACTAATGTAAATAGAAATTCAACAATATGGACGATGACCCAGTTTCTGCCGTAGACTACATCTAATTAGGTCAACTACCAGATGGCGCTTTTTTCAATTAGATTTACATTACAATCTTTCAAAGTAATACAATTTATTTTTTTGAATCAATCCGAAACAGGGGGATGTTGTCTATATTTTTGATTTGAATAAGAACGGGCGAAGCTCAGTTTTATCACAAAGTAATGTGAATTAAATAGAAGTAAAAACTTATGACAGATTATTTCTACTTTTTGTGATACATACAAATGTAAATCACACGATTCTATGTGAATTATTATTTTTCCGTAAAGGTATCTTATCTTTTATCAATATGCGTAGCTGATGATTCCGACTAATATTATATCTATAAAAGGGAATTTAAATTTATCAACGTATTATATAATTTTGTGTTATATTTCTTTAACACCGGATATCAAAACGAAACAACTAGATAAAAGTGTTATATTCACATTAAATCACTAAACGAAGTTAGAAATTTTGTACATAACTTGTTATAATATTAGTGTTAATAAAATAATTTATGGATTTTTTCATTCGTGTCTTTGTCTCGCATTAAACCAGTATCAAAACGAGGAATAAAAAAACACAAGATGTAATATCATTTCTATATTATTATAGTAACCTAAAACTATTTTTATTTACATGATCACAGCCATTCGATTTGTTATAATTCTTAAAATTAATAATTATAGTTCTAAAAGTCGTCAGGGGAACAATCACATCCATGACATGTTTGATAGATTTACTTTTCGTATTTTTGAACTTCATTTAAAAGGTTTAAAAGTCTCCCAGCTAAGTGAGGTTGTACAGTTTTAGGTTTCAAATTAAATCTTTTAATAAACTCCAAATTATAATGTAATTTGATTTAGAATCTCACTGTATTAAGACACCGGATATGTGATATTTGGACTAATTCCCGAACTTACTGGAAGCCCGTCATTAAAGAACAAAATACAAATGACGAGATTGCAGTCATTCTGTGTCCTTTATAGATCTGGTTTAATTATTTATATATATATTAGTTCCATTTTTACCCACAATTAGACATCCACATAAAGATATTAACAACTATTTAAAAAATTATTGTCTCATCATTAGCAGGTAATTCCTCTTCACTTATATGTAACATGTACTTGACTTAGATCAGCTCAACGTTCAAATCAAGTAGAAGTCGTAGGTCCCTCTCCCAAAGTAGACGTAGTCCGAACACCAGTTTCGAGCCTGTAAGTCCGTGGAGCAACAGGCGGGATATGCTAGACGGGATTTAGTCAACTTGGCGCACCGTTGGCAGAGGTCCAGTAACTCATCCTGTAACAACGTGCCGAATTAACTTTTCGTTGTTAATTTACAATCGAGATCCTTCGTAACGCCAGTCTTAACGTATTACAGCGAATTTCAGTACTATTTTAGAATCGCACGATCGCTAGTGAGGTTTCAAAAAAAAAACTTCAAATTGTTTAAAATTCTATCAATTAGTGAGGTAACAGAAGCCTGTTTTGCTTTCGGTCCATCGATGTTACCGACTGCCAAGGGCAATACGTACTAAAAACCCCATTTAGTTAAGAATATTTTGTCTCCTTTATAAAATTGTAAAATTAAAAAAAATATTATTAGGGTTTCAAGTGTATAACTTACATCTGTATGACACTCTGCTGACTCCGTGAATACTCCGCTGTTCTTCAACCACGGAGGCATGGCGTTCGACTCCTTGATGAGGTTGGTGATACATAGCACAAGGATTATGCTAAGAATTGAAGTTTTCTGTGAAAATTAGAAATGTTAAAAAAATTATTAATCATAACGTTAAGTAATAATGTCATTAAAGTCAAAGCCGTCATCTATCGAGACATAGGGCCGTTTGCTTTAGCATAGTGATTTGTCTGCAACAATCAAAAATGATAACCGATACCAAAAAGTAGGACACATTTGTTTTCAAATCATTGTTAAATCATGAAATTAGGTTAATGTGATGCAATGACGTTTTGAATCACAATAGGCTTTGATAAACCCTTGACATGCCATAGCAATTGTTTGTTTGTCGGGAGGTACTCGTGGTACCTGTTTTATCTCTGACTAAATTGGGTTACAAATGCAAATCATCAATCATCGTATGAAATTGTCTTATTGATAATTGGACTGTGGTTGCTAAATTAATAACTATGGAATACGCGCTTTTAACTTCTGTAACGTATAGACCTAAGAATGCCAGGTTTCACAACGAAAACATGGAGTTTTATGTGAATTAACAATAATTTCACGCAATACATATCTTCTGGCTTACCTGTTCTTTCTAACACTACTTTGGTTTAAGCTAACCTTTTGACTACTTCCCGTCCCATGAACACGACACGTGGCTTTGAACTATCGGTTGCGTCAGCGTGAAAGAGTACTCGTAACACATACAAGAACCATTTATTTCTGTACTGTAAGAATTGCTTTTTCTATAAGATTGGGGATTCTCTTTTATATTGAGAATTTGTGTCGATCCGGGAACCTAAATATTCCAATAGCTGGTCAAATCAGTAATACAGTTAGACGCAATTTTTTGGAAATCATGACGTGATATATACAAGGACATAATTTTTTTGTTAATTATTAATTTTCTGGTGATACTCGAATTTTTTTTTAAATGTGTCATTGGACATTTCAAGTGGTATGAGAAACGATAGTCTTTTTTTAAATTATACATTCTGAAAAAAACACTCTATATTTTATATAAGTATAATAGATTACTACAATATGCTTCTTGTTCTCAATGAGATTGCAACATTAATTTAAGTTGTAGGCAATAATTTAGATAAGATAGACATTTCGGAGTAAAATAGTAAACTAGTAATCGGTGCCACAATAAGGATAACAAATTTGTAAAAGAGATTTAGTTATTATTCAAAAACTAATTAGTTGCGGAAGCAGTTTAGATATCTTTCTATTAATAGATATTACGGATGTTAATTAATTATTACGTTACCTAAGATTTGATCTTTTTATATCACACGGAAAATTATAATAAAGAAGTGCAATCATTAATAGATAATTAAAAGGTCAAGATAATGGAAAATTCATTAGATCTTTAATCGGCTGTTCCGCGTGTGTATGTCACTTTGCGGTAAACTGATTCCGGATTTCCTTATAATAAATATTACTAACATATTCACTGAAAACACTTTTTTCTTAATATGGTTTTTGTTTCCTTTATCACAGGGGACGATTATAATTTATAGTGAATCAGTAATAACATGTTTAACGTAAATTTTCAGCTTCACAATATTAGAAGTTATTAAAACAAAATCACTTTTAAAAACCAAACTAACGTTTAGCATATTTTTGGGACTACAGAATCAATTATTGCGTAAGTAAAATTTTCCCAACACGTGAACGTTATTGATGCAAAATGCATTCCTTCTGCTGTATTCTGCACTTGGGACTAGTAACAGACGTGTTTACAGTTCTTGAGATTATCTTAATGTTTTGTTTTTGCAATGCGTTTGCACTAAAACTGTTTTAATTAATTTATATTGCTGTTTATACTCGATAAGAGAATCAGACGGTGTCTGTTTTTAATACTGATAAAAAAAGTTGATAACTACGTAAACTGTCAGTTTAAAAATATAAATTACACATTAACCAAATTATACAAAAGATTAAGAAATTAAAAAATCAAGCGTGTCTAAATAAACTTCTAAAATTATAAGTTAAATAATAAAAAATGCATAAAAATATAGACCATATAAACCCAGATCATTTTTGCCTTTAAAAAAAATATTGGCGTTCACCATGTTAACGCTTAAAGTATTGAATACATATTTAAAATAAAATTAACGTTACAAATTCGTATATTTTATGATACGTACAATACAGAAAGCCGCCATTTCACTACACAACACTGGACAAATCTTCAAACAACCAACTCCTTGGAGCGCCAACAGAGTCAGTGAGAGCGTGCAAGATGTTCACCACTTCGCCTCTTATCACCGAATTACTACAGTCGGACCTAGCGTGTTCCCTCAGTGATATAGATATCAAAATAATTAGCTATTTTTTTATTCAATTTGCGGAAACGAACACTTTAATCTCGCTTTGTTTCCTTCACGCAATGCGTGACTTTATAACCACTATCTTAGGCTGGAATCAATAATATTTTATAACCAGCTGCTGCTGCACTTTATAACACCTTAGACTTAACACTGATAGAAGGTCAAATTAATAGAAGACGTTACTTCATTTAAAAAGCTCCACTAGGTTCGATAATCAAATAAACACATATTAACATACATTATTTATTAAACAATCAAAAGGATCATTAAATTATTTTTACTAAAATTGCAATTTAAGTTATATGATGAAATATCGACTTCATTACATTTTACCGACTTCAAAAATCAGATGAAATCTCTACGGTTCGACTCGTTTTTTTTCTTATTATATTTGAATCGCTTCTGCTATAATCAGGTCCTAATACTTTTACATTTTAACTAGGTTCAATTTTAACGTAAAACTTTACATTTTGTATATATCTAACCTTCAAAGCAAACCAAGTCATACTGATTTTATCAAAAATCATTCGGTCAGTTTAACGTCAAAGTATTTTGAAGTACATAGCAGTTTATAGTTAAAAATTAAGTTGGCCAACGAAGGAACGAATAAAGAAGGAAACTATCCTAATACTCGATTACACTTTGGCTTTCTAGTATATTGCGCTAAAATTATCCGCAGCAACTGATTTTTTAACCATAAGAATATTAATTTCATATTAAGACCTGAGGTCTTTTTTTGTAAAACTCGAGGTTAACTTTGCCTTGCTAATCGGTGCACGCAATATCAAACGTGCATTGATCAAGTGCATAGGTAAACTTAAATTAACACCTAGTTTATTAATCAAATTGATACATTTATAAATTAAGATAACTAACCTTTGATCCACCATATTTTCGCTTATCATCCGCCTCGTGTATATTCAGAGTTCTTTTGGACTTTTGGATGATATCAATTTATACATAAACTATCTGCAGTATCTTGAAACTAATCAATGCGATCAAATCGATTTACACAATGTACCCGATATGACCCGATGGAGCCGATATGGAGTTACATTTTACACCAAACGGCGGAAGTGTTTAATCAGTAAATGTATAAATGCAAATATTGTTTAGATCCAATGTTAACAAGATAAATAGACAGTGGCTCTACAGTCCTTTATGGGCATCATCTTTGACCTGCGCTTCGTTCGGTATCTGTCGCTAGTTTTTGGGTGTGCAGTTAACTTGAATGCTTTTCATACGCGTTAACTGCGCACATAGAAACCGCACAAGAAAATCACCCCGATATTCCTCATTCCGCAATAAAGTTTACTATCCTAACTTCACGGTCCACCGGCTACTGTGTGATTCTCTTACAAATCAGACGAAATACGCCGTGCTACATAGGGGACGCTTCTTCGTCGCTGTCTCACTGTAAGTTAGACCTTCAGCCTTGGCAGAAAATTTTATCTAAAAATCAAGTTATTTTCACCTATAGCTATATGGATTAGTATCATAGGGCAAAGAGCGAAAATTACATAAATAATTTAATTAACAATCAATAAATGTGATAAAAATAGATAGGAATAATTTCTCCTCGAGATTTCTCATTCCACGTCAGTTGCACGAGGGATTATTTATTTTGTTAATTATTGTATCCGGTTCGGATATTCATATGGTTCTTTAAAAATTGTTTATTACTTATATTATCTCACTTACGAACCGACACCTACTGGGCCGATTAAAAAATCTTTAACTTTTATTAGAATGCCACTTTGTCTCCGAGGAACATAATATTTAAAAAAATTGGTACCTTGCCATTTGCAGCTGAGCTGCAGTAACAAATAAAGAAATGTATTACAAATAATCTGAATACTATATAAAATCGTAACTGCTAAAAATAGGTTTAAATATTTTCAACAAAAGAAACTTGTATTTATATGGATAACCTCTCTCTATAAAAATAAAATTATTAAGACGGAGTCGCTCGTCACATAAACATATAAAAGGCCGGCAACTCACTCGCGAGCCCTCTGGCATTGAGAGTGTCCATGGGCGGCGGTATCACTAAACATCAGGTGAGCCTCCTGCCCGTTTTCCCCCCGTTCTATAAAAAAAAAAGTATTATAAACAACTATCGCATACTAATAACAAAAAAGTGCGTGCGTACAAAGTACAAATGTCAGAAGTGAAACTTCTTTGGCAAACTAAATTTTAAGTCTTGTTCATGTTTATACAAATCTAAAACTTTTGATTTCCGAGAGATCTTTAGAGAGGGAGGGAAAAAGGAAGATATATTAGGGATTTCATGAATTTAATTATCATTAAAATATTAAGTGTCGAAAATTAATACAAATAATAAATTTAATTTTTTAAAAATTATTTCTTCGATAATAAAAACACGTGACATTTTACAACTCGTCATTTGAGATTTCAATAAATTATTTTGCATAAAATATAAAATACTAATATTTCATAAACGACGTGACGTAAACGTAAAATGTTACCCTCATGCGCCTAAAGAAGTTTCATCTAATTATAAAGTGAACTTGTCAAATTGAATCCGTGAATCGTGACAAAAGTTCATAGAAAACAAAAGACTACATCATCCGGTGAATGACCAAGGGATGTTATGTCTACATACTTTAGATTACACGTGAATCATCACTGTTATTGTCGATGTTCAATTTATTGAACGCCGTAACTTTCCTAAGGTTTAAAATTTAAAAAAAGTACCTTGTAATGTAGCAGATATTAATTAATACTTACGAAAAAACTTTTTGTTTTACAGCCATACTCGGAGTCTGAATGACAAATACTTAATTATCTTTATCTATACAAATATTATAAAGAGCAAAGTTTAAGTAACTTGGGGTGAGGTAACTTCGCGAAATATTTTTTTACGCACGTGTAATTCTTTGTCAAACTTTATGGTACGTATTGTTACCAAATAGCAACTTTTATATATCGTAGAAACTTTTTGTATCACATCGATTTGTGTTGTTGCGTAAGGATAGGGTTAAACCGTATACACAAAAGTATCATAAAATACTCTATTTTTCCCTCCGCCAAAACAAAAGTTTAAACTATGCCCTTTAACTATCTAAATTTAATTTTCGAAGTAATTGACCTTACGTTCTCAATTTCATGTGAAAACAATGTTCAGATAATGTGATAAAGTATTTATCAATTGTTATTTTGGAAAGGCTTCCTAGAGACACTACGGTCACAATTAAGATAATACTCAAAGTTACCAAAACAAGTTAGTGTTTATTAATTTTAATTGGCAGGTCTCAAAACAGATATATATGTAAAAAAAGTCGCAAATTTTTTTTTGCGACGCTCATGTGCAGAAGTGTCCCGCCGAATCGGGAGCAAGAACTTATTATTTATTTAAGAACTCAAGAACTTATTATTTCTTTAAGAACTCAAGAACTCATTATTTCTTTAAGAACTCAAGAACTTATTATTTCTTTAAGACATGTGGCTAGGGGACAATGATTTATTTATAAAATAAAGTAGTTTGTAACATTAATGTAAAGTTTCCGGTAATCAAGCTGGCAGATATTGATATCTTGAGTATGTTAAGTACATTTGTATTGTTCTGAGCAAGACCTGTCTTTTAAAGTTCAGAAATCTAATATACGTTTAACTCGTTATAAGGAAGGTCCGAGCCGACCGTTTGAAAAAATTTGTGGGATATATATTAAATATGTATTAGCTATTCGCCTCGATTTCATCCGTGTTTATTTTATAGAATTATTAGATTCCATTAATTAGTTACTGGAGTCAATTTAACATGATCGTATGTGACATTTAATTTTACAAAAAGTTACCGGCGTGTTTTTAGAGCAGTGTTGGCCTAGTGGCTTCAGCGTGCGACTCTCATCCCTGAGGTCGTGGGTTCGATCCCCGGCAGTGCCAATGGACTTTCTTTCTATGTGCGCATTTAACAGGAAAACATCGTTAGGAAACCGGCTTGCCTTAGACCTAAAAAGTCAACGGCGTGCGTCAGGCACAGAAGGCTGATCACCTACTTGCCTATTAGAATACCAAATGATCATGAAACTGAAACAGATACAGAAATCCGAGGCCTAGACCTAAAAAGGTTGTAGGGCCATTGATTATTTTTACCGGCATGTTTAAGAAAAAAGCAAGTGTCTCTCAAGTGTCTTTATTTTATTTTAAACTGGTACAATAAGGATCATTCAAATATATTTGTTTCAATGTTGAAACTTAATGGAGTAGCTCTAAGCGTTATTGGCCTAGTTCTAATCACGGCTGTCCGCCAATGAACCGTCCGTCTATGTGCGGATTCAACTTACGCTCCTACGGTGAAGGAAAACAACAGGGATGAGGGAACCCACGTGCCTTAAACTCAAAAATCGACGGCGAGTGTCAGGCACAGAAGTCTGTTCATTTACTTGCTATTAGAAAAAGCAAATGATCACAGATACAGAAATTTGAGGTTCCACTGGCTTAATAAATGTGTGCAATAGGTATTTATAATACTTATATCTGTTATATATATATGGGTTGTACGCGGGAGTGTCGGACACTCCCATGAAGGTCAATCGTCACACTGAATCGCGAATCGAATACGTTTTTATCTCTAATTATTAAAAGTTATGAAATAAGTTGGAAATTACATAATTTCGCTATCTCAACTTTTGCACTCCGGATTAATCCGGATTCGAATACATTTTAGCCGATAAAGACGTGCGTCTTAATTCAGAAAATCCTTCGAATGTTCTATAATTTTTTATCAGACTTTTATTATAGAGCAAGTTAACATGTACCCTATCGTTTAATCAGCCGTTTAGAAACGAGATTTTTTAATAAGCCTAACGAGTCAAATCTCCCCTTTCCTAAAAATGGATTTTATTTGCTTAAACTTAGGTCTGGTGGGATTGGCATCTTCCAGGCCCGGGCAACTACTCCGGAAGTATCCTCACGATATTTATTGGCGATGCGGAGCTTGCTGGCCTACGGAAGCCGCGTTACCTCTTGTGCTATTGAAATGAAATGAAATAGTTTATTCTTGCAAGTAGGACTATATAAATCACTTTTACAATGTCATCCTAAACTAGATGATGTCGACATTTCCTAACTGACTGCCCTGAGAAGAAATGTCGAAACAAACTCGGGGGTCTAAGTCTCTTTTATAGTCCAGATAATACAATAATAAATTAATAAATTGGTGTAAACAAATGCAGAGTATTTACTGGACTGGTCTTTGGAAGAAAGAACCAGATCGATCTGAGCAAGCCTGTGCCAGCAGACGGCAAGCATGCCCCGAATAGCTCATGCAGCTCAACCATTTTTGAGTGTACAACCCGGTACACAGCAGTACCGCCAGTGGCACCATAAAAATATGTGGGGCAACAACTCACTCAGATCGCCAGCCCAAAATAACTATAGACTAAAATGTATCAAATTATAAATCAAGCAAAAGAGTTTATGATATACCCGCATAATGTTTACACTTACAATGGATATAAAATGTATTTTTAAGGTGTACCTTATTCATTTTACTGACATATTTGACAATTCTATGGTAGTATTTTTCCAGCCGTCCTTCCTGGGATGACCTCATGCCAGTCTCGAAGTTCCAGATCACATCCGTTCCGTTCTGGCTCTTTTGAAAGTCGGATAGTCAACAAGGAAATTAACCATCGTTTCGTCGCATCTTTCGTCACAGTCGCACGCAGTGAGGAGTGAGTCGCTGAGCACATCCGCATTCCGACTCCCCATGGTCTGTGCGTCCCTCAGTGCGGCTAACTCCGCCTGGTATATTGTACAGTACATAGCCAGTGCATAATGCCAAAATGTCAGTGGCTGGGGCTGTGAGCACTGACTCAGAAATGCGCATGCGCACTTAATTCACGAGAGTTGCATTGTCCATTATTTGTTGTGTTTTGTTTAATTATTGTTAAGTAAATTTTTGGATCGAAGTTACTATAACGGTATAATATAAGGTAAACGAACAAAAATTTCATTGATCAAGTAACTGACTTCCATGAATATCGTTTAACATCTACAACTCTTGTATAATGCACTTGTTAGGAGCCACTTGGAATGTAACTCGATGATTTGCGCCCCACAAGAAAAAAAATATACTCTAATGGTGAAGCGTATTCAAAATAAATTTACGAGATACATTTACATGAGGTTGTATGGACTGTACCGATTTTACCCAGTATGGCCATGTGTCAGGCACATGAGGCTGATCACCTACTTGCCTTTTAGATTGACAAATGATCATGAAATAGATACAGAAATCTGAGGCCCAGACCTAAAAAGGTCGTAGCACCACTGATTTATTTTATTTTTATGAAGTTCCAAAAGGGTTCACAGAACTATAAAGATACGTAACGTAATAATCTCGTATCATTCAGATGAATTAACGAACACACGAAGGACATTGAGAGGAAAATGAAACACAGGCTGGCGTAGAAGTGGATGAATATATTCAGAGGTGGGTGTAGAAGTGGGGGGCGATCTCCAGGAGCCACTCCTTCTCGATCGTCATCATCTCCCTCATGAACACCTTGTCTCCCGTGCTCTGCACGCTCGCGAACACCACCCTGAAGACATATCATTTTTACTTTGCGCGAGACAAATTAATTCGGACGAGATACTTAGATTTTATTTCAATAATAATTGATTATTTAAAATATTTATTTTTTATTTATCGTATTAGCTTTTACAATCTTAGATAGTGCGCACTATTGTGACGTTACTATTTTGTTAATTAAAATATAGCATGTTTTGTAGTCGAATAAAATCTCACCAAGTGGGCTGTTGAACGTGAAAAAGGCAACTATCGGGGCTGATGTGGAGCTTCGCCCCTCGGATTCCCTTGTAGGAGCCCTCGACGCTGAGAGAGGCCGCTTGAGGGAACAGACCGGACACCACGCACTTCATCACGCGCCGGCTTTTGGCTGAAAGATTAGATTTAAAAATAAAATTATAAACGTTGCGAGTTCGGCAAGAGTTTGGACGTCGCAAGTCCAAGTGACCAACCACTCACCGGTTCCTAAGTCGAGACCTTCGAATTCTTTATTTTCAATTTTGAAGTTTTCCTTGATCAATTTCTCCAAGCTCTTCCTTATTTCACAGGCCTTTAAAATTTTAATGGAATATTACATTATTTCAATAAAAAAAACCTATATTTTTTTTAATATCCAACTGTTTTCTGTGGCTATTCCATTTTCTACTTCCGAAATATGTTTCCAGCGAAGAGACAGAGACAGACATAACTCGGCCGTCAAAGGAGGAAAAAGGACAAAAGAGGGTGAATCTTTTAAATGCCGTAAAATTAGTTAAAATTAATTAAAGTCATTAAAGTTTATTTTTAGATTTAAAATAGTGTTTGAATGCAGATTATTTAAAAAAATAAACAATTATTTCCTTTATGTTGATTACATAAAATATATAGTATTTTACAAAAAGATTATTTAAATAAATATTTTTTTAAATAATCTTTGTGGAACGGCGGACGTCGAGGTGATACGGGTGGAATTTCGTATTCTGCCTCGACGTCCAATGATGAAACTCAGCTACAGATATTAAACCGAACAACTCCTCTGAACACTCTCCATGGTGAATGCGGTAGAAGATGCAGAGTGACCCCACATCTCTACGCAACGCCAAAGGATCAAGCCGCTCGGAGAGGGATTGGTCGTCGACGATTCGAACCGCTCTGCGTTGTATACGGTCAAGTGGAAGGAGCTGGTACTGGGGAGCCCCTGCCCAGAGGTGAGAGCAGTACTCCATGTGGGGCCGAATTTGCGCTTTATATAGTTGCATGCGGTGGCCCGGAGTGAAGTACCGCCTCGCCTTGCTGAGCACACCAAGCTTTTTGGAGGCTAATTTAGCCTTTCCCTCCAAGTGACCGCGAAACTGAACGTCGTTCGATATGTCAACGCCAAGTATTCCAATGCTGGCTGTGGCTTTAAGAAGAGTGTTTTCGAAAAGAGGAGTAGCGACAAAGGGTGTTTTTTTAGCGGAAAACGCGCAAACTTGTGTCTTCTTGGGGTTAAATTGGACTAGGTTTTGTCTGCCCCAGTCTGAGACTCCACGTAGTAGAGTTTCGACTTCAGACACAAGTTTGTTCCGGTACTCATCGACAACTGCCCGAGAAATACCTGCCCGGCCAGTGTAAAGAGTATCCCCAGTGCTGTCATCCGCATAGCAATGAATGTTGCTAAGTTGCAACATATCATTGATATGCAGAAGAAACAGGGTCGGGGATAGAACACAGCCTTGTGGGACCCCCGCGTTCACGGGTTTAAGGTCGGAACATGCTCCGTCGATGACGACCTTGATGCTCCGATCGGCCAGAAAGCTGGAGATCGAATCGCATAATTTCTCGGGAAGCCCATAGGCTGGAAGCTTCGAGAGCAGTGCTCTGTGCCACACCCGATCGAAGGCTTATAATATATAGAAAGCTATATAAATTACCTTTTCCATAACCCGGTAATTGATGAACATCTTCTGACACCAGTCCTTGCAAGCCTTCCGTTGCAACTTTTCATCTCTCTGTGTATTTTTAACTTTCGAGTAAGATTCGAACACATTCAAGTACATAATTAAGTCACCTTCGACCACCTGAAATCGTACATATTCACTATTACATATATATAATGTACTATTTTGTCTATCTGTCAAATTAATTGTACGATATGTTTGTCAATATTAGACACCTGTAAAGTTCTCCTTCATAAATCCATGGATATCAATATCTCAAAAACTACAATTAATCAATTAATCAATTTTGACGACAGACTGTTAAAATATGTATTTATTTATTTACAATTTTTAGATTAACTAACATAGCTAAAACGGACTACACCATATATACGAAGAAATAGTTTTTTTATCACAAAACAAATTTGCTCTAGGGAGCGTTCGAGTATTACGTAACGAAGTTTGGGGGGGTTTTGTAAAACGTTACGATGCGGGGCGGGGATTGAATTACGCGTTATTGTTAATATTATTTTCGACTTTTCAGTTCACCTTACCCACATAATGGTAACTTTTAGGTATAAAGAGTCACTGGGTGGTCACGAAACGTTTTACTATTCTGGGGCGTTACGGCGCGTCACATTGTCAATAATCTCCAAAAATTGCGTGACGTAATACTTGAACGCTCCCATAGTCAAACAGTCACTTTGATATTACTATTTAAATAAACTTTAACCTCAAAATTATTCCGCCTCACAACTCTCGCAGTCATCTTGTCCTTCCCCGCGACCTGTCTGACGAAGACGCCTTCCACCTGCAGCATCGCCACGATTGAGAGCACTTCGTCGACACAACCGAATTCACCTGAAATACTCATTATTCATATAATATAAGTCCCTAAGCGGTCAGAAAGTGCAGAAGCTAAACCATTCCAAATACTTTGGAATCCAATTCATTGGCTCGAATATCTAACTGCGGATCGTGAGACGTCGGAATCGAATCCAAGATGAAGTATAAATACACGCCTTATCAATTTTTCAATAAATAATTTTAATTTCCCCTAATTAGGAGTCGGCAGGATTCTAATATTCATGGCCAGTCTCAATAGAGGTCTGAGGCGGTCAAAGCGATATAGAAGAAATTATTTGGAATTTTCACACACCGCTATTACACAACATCTTGGCGCACATGGGCCTGAGGGGCAGTTCGGCCATTTTGTTCCCGACGGCCTCGGTCAGGTTCCCGGCTTTGTCTATCGCGTCCAAAGCGTACAGAGTCTCCAACCCCGACAGAAGGCTCTTGGCCGGCGGAGGAGTCGGGAATGTAAATCTGGAAATCATAAAATAAACAATTTTGTTGTCTCTTTCCGTCAAGTTGTGTTTATGCAAAAAATAAAAGTAAAAAAAGTTAATTTCACTCGAGTCTGGGTTTATAGTTATTATAAAAAATATTTTACTAATATTTGTTATTTTCCTTTCGTAAAATCTATTATGATCGTACAGGCTCGCTATTACCCATATAAATAATAAAAAGTATTTGCGTTAACGATGTTACGATTTATCATTTACTTAGAAATGTTTACGAATTCTATTATATATATCTCCTTTAAAAAGTGTTTTAATTTGAAGAATTCAGTAATAGAACTATTTCGTATAAGAGATGTACAAAGGTCATCAACGCGTATACCTCAGCAGGTTGTGAATGCCCAGAGCCTTCAGCTGCAGCAGAAGCGAGGACAAATCGCTCCGAGACATTTCCGGAGGAACGCTCTCGGGCAACTTCTCGTATTCCGCTTCCGTGTACAGTCTGAAAGCGATCATATTATATTATAATCCATTTTTACTCAATCGTTTTAATGAAATTTTAAGAGAAACATAATAAAGAGCAGTACCTGTAGCACATCCCCCGAGCCACTCTGCCGGCCCGGCCGGCTCGTTGCGTCGCGTTGTGTCGCGAGACGGGACAGACGGACATACACTCCACGCCCAGCACCGGATCGAAGTAGGGCAGCTTGTGGAACCCGCAGTCGATCACTGGAAAGTCATAGTCTCGTGAGGGGCGGACAATATTTATATTTATTGGCCTCGGCAGTAAATACTTCGTCGTGCTCTCGACGTAGACCTTTATATTCTGTAGAGATTTGTACGATAACATATTTGGGAACATCCAAACGAAGTAAATAGAATAGTTTAAACATAACTCTATAATATAAGGAATATTTTTTTATGTAATAGGAGGCGAACGGGCAGGAGGCTCATCTGATGTTAAGTGGTACCGCCGCCCATGGACACTCGCAATGCCATTAACGTCCGACATTTAATTCGATTTTATTAATGTACATAATAATTCATGAATTTTGTGAAAATTATTTTAAAGCAGTATAAAATAAAAATAATAATATTGAGGATCACCGTAAACAATTCCCGGTATGGTAACACTGGTTTCGGCAATATTAGTCGCCAGTATGACTTTCCTGACATTCTTGTCTCCCATTTGAAAGACTTTAATTTGCCGATAGAGCGGGAGACTCCCGTACATTGGCAACACTGACAGATTCGCCGCTTGTATACCGCTCGAAAAACTTTTACGATATTTATTCTTTTCGTTATTTTCTTCGGCGTATATTTGTATAGTATCTAGTGCTGCGAGGATTTCTTCCTGAAAGATAGCGGTTATTTATTGTGTAGTTAAAAATAATAAATCAAACATTATTCGTCTCTCTCCTTTAAGAACGTAAATAAATATTTATATTTCTTTTAGATTGTTTAGATCTGTCATGTGTCAAAACTGACGTTTTACTAAATTGTAATATTGACAGACGCTAGTCTTGTCATTTGAATACAAGAACAATTTTTGTTAATACATTTTCGGATTTTAATCAGAAATTAGATTTATTGTTTTGAAGAACTTTTACGAAATACCTCTAAATGTTGTTTCTTTAATTACTTTAGTTTTCTTCACATATATTTAGTTTTTAATTAATTATAGGCTTTTTAAGATATTTTTTAACTCATAAAAATCATAAATGATATTAATTCAATAAAATGTTACTTGTGAAGTCAGAAATGCCAAAATGTCCCCAAACGGCTGGTTTTCGTGTATTTTGATGACTGTGTCTACGGTCGCTTTTACATAGTCCGCTACTGGTTCTGAAATTCAACAAAATTTTCCATTTTGAAGTGAACTTCTTTAGGCGCATGAGGGTAAAATTTTTACGGATGAAAAGCAATAATAATAATATTATCGTCACGAAGATGTGCAGCGTTTTTGTCGAAGAATAGGAAGGGAGCGATTGAAACCGATTAGCAGAGGGTGAGAAGGGCGAATTACCTTATAGAAATTGTATTTTTAAAATTAAAATTTCGTAAAGAGAATTTATGAAATATTAGTATTCTATTCAAAATAATTTATTGAAATCTCAAATGACGGATTGTAAATTAAAATGCCACGTGTTTTTATTAACGAAGAAATAAATTTAAAAAATTAAATTTGTTATTTGTTGTAACTTTCGACACTTTTAATATTTGAATGACATATAAATTCATTAAATTCCGAAATAAACCTCTAACTCCTTTAATCAGGAGTTTAATAATAAAGCCGTAAAATAATCATAAGCCATTTCTCAAGTTTACCTTCCACGTAGAACACGTCGATCGGATGCGTCCTTCCCTGCATGGACATAATGACAGATGTGTTCGTATGGCTGTTCTTATCGCCTAAATTGAAGAAATCTTTCAGAAACTCGGCATCCATTGTCGCCGAGGAGACGACGATTTTCAAATTTTTCCGTTTCTGGAAAAAACAATTACAAAAATAAATTATTAATAGTAAAATAATAATAGAACGCTAAACCATGAATTTGTCACTTTATTTTTTTTAGACCTTTTTCTTTACGAGCAAATTGCTTCATAAAAATATAAAATCAATTGGAGCACAACAGGCCTCAAACGGACTATTTCAGCCCTGTTCTGCTACCCCAGGCTGATATATGATATTAGCCTAAAGGCCCTTTTCTTATCACATGATATCGGAGAAATAAAACATATTTTTTAAGGTATATACCTTAAAAAACCTTAACTTAAACCCGCATTACCTTAGCTATTTTCTTCAAAAGCCCCATCAAAACATCCGTCATTTGGGATCTCTCGTGGACCTGAAATCATATTAAGTAAAGTTAATGTGTGTTTTAATCATTTTCTTCCTTTCATTAAAATGTCAGTAGTAATAGAAACACCCAGGATAAAGACTTAAGTGCCTTAAGTTAACAGTTTACGAGGTGTCGCATTTCCTGATAGAAATCGATCTATTATTATATCAAAATATAAGGAGTTTTGGGACTGTGTTTTTTGCATCATTTTTTTATAGAACAGGGGGCAAACGGACAGGAGGCGACTCACGATGTTAAGTGATACAGCCGCTCATGGACACTCTCAATGCCATGCCGATGTCAGATAGCTCGCGAGTGAGTTGCCGGCCTTTAAAGTCATCGTTTAATATTTAAAACAAATTTAATATATGTATGAGAAATTATGTAAGAATTAGTTGCATTAATACCTAATCAATGACACTATTTACCTCGTCTAGCACAATGCAGGTGTACTGCATTAGAAGTGGTGACGCGAACATTTCCCTCAGCAGAACTCCTTCTGTCATAAACTGGAATAATATGTTTGTTTTGAAATTAAAAGAAAATTTACCTAGGGTGAGGTGAAAACGAAAGACGAAGACCACTTGTCCAATACGAGAAAAGTGAAAACACGCAATATGATGCTGTCCAATCACGATAGTGTACAATTACTATCAAACTCAGGGTTTCGTATTTCATTTTGGGTTTTCTATTCTCAAACCTGGCTTGCCTGCTGATTGATCATCTTAAAATCAATCACAAACTATTACAGAGTGAGTTTATAGATACTTCAATTGTAGTTTAAAAAAGTAATGATAAGGAAAGAAAATATATTTTAAAATATTAAATATATTTAATATAATATAATATAATTATATTTAAGCCGCCTTAATCACTAGATGTATGGCAAAAAAAAAACATTTATAAAATGAGCAGTGCTTATGCAAGGTATTATCTCTGGTATTCATTTAAATAAACGTCTAAAACACTAATTTCCTGTTTAATTCATACATGAATAATTAATAATTAAAGATGGTAGAAGTTAGATGATACTTTAAGAGGTTGTTTTGTTAATAAACACTATTCTATGCTTTTGAGAAATAATATTTATTAACTGCTGTTTAATTAAGATTTTGTGCAACAGTGACTTAATTATCATTTAAATTAAGCAAGGTCGATTCGGTCATTATTTTTAAATTGCATCAGTAACGATTTAGAATAAAAAGCTTTGAGATAAAATAACTTGATATTATTACATAACACAACATCGATGGAAACGTTCAAAAACCCCAATGAAAAGGTAATTCAGCAGCTATTAAAATTGTTTCATTCTCTTCAATACATAGATACTTTAACCTCGTCCTAAATAGTACAAAAGCAAGTTTTTTTTAAATATTTTTTGTAGATCGTCACCAGTCGAGGTAAAGGTCTGACTACGTCAGTCAAGGGTACTTTGAATAAAAACACTGAAATTAAAACGGAGTTTGAGAAGGTACCTGGTTAATTACAAATATTTTAAGATGATTTCACATGAACTGGATATTAACTGAATTCATATGGCAACCTTTAAAGGTAGAATTTTCAAAAGTACCTACATATTATTAAATTGGTCAAGTAGTTTGTGATCGATAAGAATACTTGAAACGGGAAAGTCCCCTTCAACTGAGTGTACACTCAACAAAATAAATAGATAAAGTTCAATATTCTAATAGTAACATAAGATTATATTTCAAATAAAAAGCTTTAAAGTAACACACTAGATACTGAATAAAGTATGGGTAGACAGCGTACATAATATCTCAGGTGAAAATACACAATTCGCCAAGGATGAGTCCTTTGTTAGAGAGCCTCACACATATTTTATCGTCAATCAATATTTTTTAATCAGGATTTATTATTGCTGATTTAAGCCCCACATCCCTTTAGGCTTTAAGTTAGGGGTATAATGTTAAATTTAACTATGACTCATTTTATGTCTCAGGTTTGTTTCCAAAATGGAGTCAAAAAAATTAAAAATACTCCATTTTTGTTTTCTAAATGTTTTTAATAGTAACCCTTAAAAGGGCAGTTGGAAGTAAGCTTGTGTTAAGTGAAAGTAATGTATCAAAATGTAAATATCGGCTAGACATTGATTGAAGGGTCAGGTCAGGGTCAAGTCATGTTAGGTCGACCGGTCACGACTTCATTCATTACATTCAGATTGAGGTTATTGTCTTTATTATACGATCTAATGTGACGTAATTGGCTGTCTATTCGAAATTCATGTGGTACTAAATACGAATATTTTTCTATGTAAGGTAATCCTCTCATAGAAATAACAATAATTTACTGGAGGTGTGGTATGGTGTAATGGGGTAACCAAATAAAGGTCTCCAAAAAAGCATGTCAGTTAAATCTATATGTATGTGAAATTGGATAATTTTGAGTATGATGTATTTAGAGTACCAAGTATGTTTGCTAACTGTATGAACGTCCACAAATTTCTCGAAAACTAAAGTAATATCGAGCATTTTTAAGCTATGACGTAATATAGGTGCGGCCAATACGCGTTAGAGCGAGACAGAACGCATACCGCGTCTCACATCCGGTCTGGCGTGATCGGTGACGTAGCGCAGGTGCGTTAGAGTGGGACAGAACGCATACTGCGTATACACATCTCTCTGGCGAGATGGGTGACGTAAGGTAAGCGCGGTCTGTGCAGCCGGTACGCATTAGAGTGAGACAGAATATATAAGCGTGTTAGTCTGAGTCTGGTAGAGTGGTAGATTGAATTAATATATAAAAAAATACTGCATAAATAAATAATTTTAATTGCATAAGTTGATAAAAAATGCTATGCAATAGCTTTACCGCGGCTGTCGCCGAGTTCCGCAAGTTTTTTTTTTATTTAAACCATGTACGATGATACAACGCAAAGAACAATTCAGTTTCATCTAAAATAGCTTTAGTAGTTTTTGAAGGATACCCTTATTCCTATTTACACATTTCACAAGCATTTGAAGTGAGTTAAAGTTTTCTGATTGGCGATCAAGCATTTGGGTTTAACGCTAATCCATTTTTAGCCTTTAGAAAAAAAGGCATAGAAATTACACAGATATCCGGCCAAGACCAAGGGTTGAATGTTCTAGGTTTTTTATTCATTACCATACGCCCGCTACCTACATCAAATAAAAATAAAAACTATAAGTACCACGATGCCAGTATCCGGCGTCCTGCAGGATGTCATAGCGGCAGCGTAACCAACATCTTCACCGAGTGTAGCCCCTCTCTCCTCAGCGACGCGACACGCGAGCGACACACACGCCGTGACACGAGGCTGGGTCACGCACACTTTGTGACCCACTTCGTAAACATACTGAAATCAGTTTAATTTGAAAGGTAATATATTTTTACTATAATAAGCATGTACTGAAATATATGATATAGTATCATTTGTCATGAAACAAGCTCGTTTGTAACATGACAATTGTTTATGATTTCAAATAAATCCTTCATAAGTACAAAGACAAGTTTAGACACACTTAGTATTTTTTTGGATACATGTTAGTAGCTACAAAATAACTAAAACGTCTAAGAACCCACTTATGTGCATGAATCTGAATAGGGGAGCGTGGGGCTAGTTGTAACAATTTTAACAAATAATTGAATATCATGAAGTGTATTGGCTAAATTACTACTAAATAAACTTTGATGGATACTCTAACTATTTATCTATGAAGTCTAATCGAAATATTATCAAATCTACAGGCAACTATCTCACAATTATTATTTTTTTGAAAAAAGGGAAGTGTTACAACTTACCCCGTGGTTGGGGCTAGTTGTAACAACAAAAATGACACCTTCAATTGTTTAATTTTTTCACATCTTGGATCATTTTGCTTTGTATATAACAAAAACTAACTAGGTATTTCTATAATGTGTTTTTTATGAAATAGTTAACTGGACAAAAAATATAATCAACAAATTAAAGATTTAAGATTTTAACTATCTTTCTTATTCTGTACTGAAGTATAATATATATAAGGTACTTATATCATGTCATGAAGTATATAAGGTACTTATATCATGTCAACATGGCACTTATTATACATCCATGCAGTCTGTGCTCTGTTCACATAGTTTTTAAAAGGGCCGTAGACTCCCACATCTCCTACAGGTTTCAAATTGTGGGAGCAATGGGAGGGAAACTATAACATGATAACATTGTTTTCTTTGGCTTTTTCGACAGCTGCAATATTCACATGTGAGCCATGGTTATCAAGCAGTAACAGAACTGGCTCTTTCTTGGTAGGTTTCGCGTCTTTGATAAAATGATCTACAAAAATCAAAAATTCTTTATCGGTCATCCACCCTGAAGAATTACCAGCTCCAATGCAATCTTGAGGTCCACCGCGAATGAACATTTCTGAGTATTTAAGCCGGGGAAAAATGAACATCGGCCGTCAGTAACTTACAGCAATCTGGGGGGAAAATTGTAACATGTTACAACAAACCCCGAGGTTTTGTTACAACTAGCCCCTTGATATAGTTCTTAATATTTATCACGATAAATATTAAATCGACTTAGTAATCTTGAACACTGTTATAGAACATCATAAATAGTTATATTTTAGCATAAAATAAAATACATAAAACTTCAAAGCTATGAAAATAGTGAAACTAACCAAAAATTTACGTTAGTAAAATTATAGGTTACCTGTCAACAATAAAGCGTTTGCACACACCCACTCACTGAGCCTCCTGGCGGGCCCTTGGCTGTGGTAAAGTGGCGTGGCACGTTATAAGTTTAAGATTAGGTAAAAAAAAACGTGAATAAAATTCAAATTCCTATTGAAAAAGGTCTGTTACTATTTACCCCTGTTACAACAAGCCCCACGCTCCCCTAAAACCTAAATGGATATAAATATTAAATTATTATAATACTCTAAGAGACCATGACTTTTGTAAAACTCTCGATATACTAGAAACAATTTAATTTGTAACTATGAGGGATCTTTATAACACTCAAAAGCTATGATGTGTCTTATGACTAACACACATAAATTACGTGTGCAGTCAGTATAAAATAATCAAAAGTTAATTATAATTTGTATAATAAGACCAACTCTGAAATCGTGATAGATTAATAAAACACGTGTTCGTTGAAATAGTAATTCAATGTCGATAACATTAAAATTGTAAAAATGAAATTGCTTTTAAAGTTATTTCACGGAATTGAATTTTGCGTTATTTTTTTATATTTACAATTTATGTCGCATCGTGGTTAACACACGTATTAACTTTTGGTAATGGATTCGAGTACCGGCAAAAAAAATTTAATAAGCAAAAACCTATCGTTTAAAATTCAAACAAAATCCTTATGCCCAAATTATTGGAGGGATTTAGGCAAACCGAAGAATATGCACGTAGTTTACATTCTCACGTCCCAATTTTGGGTTTGAATCTTAAAAGTTCCGTAAAAATTAATAAACATAAAAAAGAAAGAAAAGAAAAAACTTTATAATACACAATAAAAGGATTTTTAGGTAAAAATTTAAGTGCACTTTGCACTAGGATTCCCTGTGTCGTGGGCATCCAGTCTCTTCCTATTGATGTGTTAACGGTACTTGACAATAATTTTTACACACTTACATTTTATATTTAAACTATTGTTGCAGGATAAGAATATTTTCTGTTTCAGATTGTTGTTTAAGATTGTTAGTTAATGTACAAAGTTTTTTTCTGTCCATAAGATAATACCAAAATTTACTTATCATTCCCTAAAATCATTAATGTTGTTATTGATTGGATCTTGAAAAAACTAAGTTTAATAAAAATATCTATTATCATTTATCACATAGTATGTGTTTAAATCTTATATTTTCAAGAAAGAGACGAATATCCCCTATATACATATCTTAAACTTAATTGGTACGCAATCGCCAGCCTTCTGGCATTGTGCGTGTTTAGGCGGGAAAAGAATTTCTAATCTCGGCTGAAGTATGACTATCAAATATTCATGAAGATATAATGCGAATAGAGTCGTCGTATGAATTTACCTGAGAATTATTGATGTCAGATCATTGGAGGTCATTGTAGCTACAGCATTTCAAACAATTTTATTGCACTTTACCTATGCTAACGAAGGCTCAGGGAAATCCTGTTATTAAACATAAAATCTTATCAATTCTCAACTCAAGTATCAAACGCCCAGTGACTAATGCGATGATAAAACACTTGCGTTGGCTTGGTTAAGTAATAATTTAAAAAAAGTATTTATTACTCACAAACATAATATATTAATTATGACGCATTGACACAGGTGCAATTATAAAGTTGATAAAAATCGCCTTTTTTATAATATATATAAATCTTATGTAACAAACAGTATATTGACGTTTTATCAAACACCTCTGCTCAATAATCTAATATATAAAATTCTCGTGTCACAATGTTCGTTCTCCGAAACGAAACGGCTCGACCGATTCCTATGAAATTTTTATGCATATTCAGTAAGTCTGAGAATCGGACATCTATTTTTCATCCCTTAAATGTTAAGGGTGGCCCCACCCCTAAATTTTTATTTTTATTTTTTAGACAAAACTTTTTGTTTTTATTTTTTTATGATACATCATGCAAAAATACATACAACCCTTAATTTCTAAACCCTTTATAGAGACGTCATGGCGAGCATTAAGAACATTTCGTAAATAAAAAATATTAGTGGATAGAACAATGAATAATAGGATAATAATTACCAACAAACGTAGTTGTAAAATTGTGGCGTATCTTTGTAATAATAGCGTAAAGTGGGTGGCAATTTCCTTTGTCAAAACGATAATGAAAACATTTTAGTTTTTCTTCATTATTTGATAAATAATTTAAGGATATCCACAAAAAAATTGTTACTAATTAAATGTGAAATGCAATGGGCTGGTCATGTACCACGATACCTAGACAACAGATTGCCATTAAAGACAACAAAATGAATGAAATGAGTCATGTGGAAAGTCATGGAGGAGGCCTTTACTCAACAGGAGTCCATATCCACAGCTGACTACATTTAGCTATAAGTAAATACTAACAACACTACTAAAATTTGAAACGGAACTTAATATGGAAATAAAAAAAGGCTTTATTATTATAATTTAATCTGTTGTTAATAGAAATGTCAAATTTATATGAATTTTTGAGGGAAGTAAAAATTCACAATTTGTTTAAGAGCACGGGCGGGTTTTGAGTGCCGCCCATGGCACTCTCTATGCCAGAGGGTTCGCGAGTGCGTTGCCGACTTTTTAAGAATATTTGAGCGTAGATGTTAATAATTTTTTGTACTATTCAGCACGCATACTAAAGGCTATATATGGTTGTATTTATGCAGAGTGGCAGTGAATAAAGTATATTCGCACGTGTTTCACGGAGAAGTCCATGCCTGAATGCTCAGTTGCGAAATGGTGCTATTAAGGTATTTTTGTAGTGGATATTATAATACAAACTCCAGCAATTAAATAAGCAAAACAGCATGAATTTTTCTGACATATTTATAATGTAAAATAAATGTTTATTTTAAATATAACTTTAAATAATGATACTTTGCTTGCGAAAGTAACGACTTGATTGCCCATAGTAACAGTTACGACTTGGTACCACATAACACCAGTAAGGCCTGATGTTACAGATTGATACTGAATGAGGCCGCACTGAATTCCTCCCGTCTCATAAAAAAAGAGAATAATCTGCTTATAAAATTTATATTCCTTAAACATACGGCAAGGCAGAAAACATAGGACATATAAGATTTGCGACTTAATTAGCCTGTTTCCTACGAAACAGTAGCTATTTTATACACTCGTTCCACATAGACAAAGTCGCGTCTCAATATTATATATAATTTATTACATATTATATAGAAATATAGAAGGTTAATGCTCCGACAAAAGTGGAGCGCTTAATCAAGTACTTATGCGCACATAGTTAATTAATAATTACAATATAAATGAAATTATATTAAATATAACGGTTTTTTCAATACCAGTTATTCGGAAACACTGATTTGTCTAAATCATTGTTAAAAAACGGTCAGTAGCAAATACGACTCGTATATTCATTACGACGTAGAAAACATAGTTAACATACAAATCAGGCGACTATGTTTTATAATACGTTAGTGGTGCACGATTCCCTTATCTACAAATATCAATTGTTTAATACTACCTGCATTAATTGGATAAAGGAAGTGATTGACACTACTCATTTAAAGTCAACAGTAGAGAAATCATCCTGTGTCTTAGGGCACAGGATGATTTCCGTATGTCAAGAACGTATTAGATTTCACAACCCTAAACACTAAAAATAAAATTAAGAGCAATTAAACCGAATCAATAAGCTTTGATAAAAAAAAATTAACTATTTAGGTTTCCTTACATTTTTAATTTCGTATTTTATTTGAGCAAATAAATTGGTTCTGAAATGAGCTCGCAAGTCAATTTCCCAATAAGGCACAGGAGGCTGATTAGCTACTTGTATATAATGAAAATTTTGACTTTTCCATCACGAGTTCGTTTATAAAAAAATAAATAAAATTGTAATACATTAAAAATATTTTTATTTATCTTTTAATTACCATTTGATAACACTGGCCTTAAAAATTAATCCCTTTTTATTTAAAATTAACCAAAGGTATTTTTAAAACAGTACATTTCAATAAAACTATTATTTTAATTCTCTTATTCACAAAACGTAATAAACACTAGCAGTGTGAACGAGTTCGATTTCTGAAACGCTGAATGTCATTACTGTAAGTGAACTGCATTTCAAAAATCGATATTACAAATAAATCACAGATAACGCTTTATTATTCATAACACTTAAAATACACTCCATATTATCCATTACACGCAGAAATTAATACAATTTTACGATGTGACTTTAAAACTGTTTCGCATTTCACGTGCCCCACACCATTATCACTGTTGTCAAAATCAATTTGTATGTGTGTGTGTATCACTAAATGTGGTGTTTGGTGCAGCTTCATTCATGTGCAATCGATATTATGTAAAATTAACTTTCGTAATTATATGATCATACACAATATATCTCTTATCATTAAACACGTGTGCACGTTTATGATAAAATTAAAAAACTTCAATATTTTATAGAAAAGAAACACGAAAAACAATTACTTACGTGAAAATTGAAGATTTTATTTCAAATTTAATCGTCTGTGAAAAACTTAATTTTCTAAACATGAACTTTGGACGGACGTTATATAATGCTCTTTTAGAAAAACTTTTATCTCAGTAATTTAATAATGTATTGAACATTTTAAATAAATTATGGCTGATGGAATAGAATTTGACTGAGATTAAAAATATTAATTTTACACAAATTACTAGAAGACCTTCAGGTCACATTTTATTAATTCAAACATTATAAATATATGGAATATAACACGTTTTTATCCATTTAGGTAATATTATTTTAATTTTCATGTAAGTGAAGTGTATGTTTTTGTTTTTAATGAGAATAAATTTCTTTAAACCTAACACGAATATATATTTGTTATATAACAAAACAACAAAGTATAATTAAAATCTTATTGTCATGATAATATGTAAACATATACTCTATGTTAACAATATATCTTCAATTCCAGATTATTGATTCTTACATATTATATGAGATCTATTTGAATTATGTATAATTAACAGCGTAATTTAAATATGAAAATCGGGCTATCTTAGAAATATGGTGTGTAAGGAAGTACATGTTTGGTAGATAGATCACAATTTGGAAAACTTTAACTCACATATAGCTAACATCCCTTATCAATAGGGTATTTCTATCTATATATCTTTATCGAGGCCAGTCAAAGATTTACCTCATCGAGTGGCAATTTTTATTGGACCAAGTAAAATGAAAAAGTCTAATATGAAAATGATGAAAATAGTCTTACATTCTAAAATTAGTACATTAATTCGGATGTTTTAATAGAATAATTATGTTTGGACAACTAAACTTATAATATATTATGTCTCACATTATTAGTAGTAGCCAGGTAGTCGGTTTTGGATACCGGGATATAAGAACCTGATACCTCTACAAAAATCAGTCAACATTCTAGCGTAGTAAACTTCCCATTGTTTTGGCACAATGGATTCCTACTTCACAATATCACAATATTCACCTTATGAAAGAGTTTTTAACGTGCGATAACAAAAAGCTAATCAGTAATATTTCTAAAACAGCTATTTTGAAACAAGATGTCAAACAGGCATTTCGCGAAATAAACAGCGTGCTTTAAAACATCCGCTGGAACGTTTTTCTTTAATTACCTCCACGAAATGAGAAGAAAAAGTTGTACGGGTGAATAAAAAGCCATTAAGTATATAAAAGTACATAGTACATAATTAAACGTGATTAAATTGTCATAGGTAAAATATAATTCTGCTTAGAGATGATGACACATTTTTAAAATAACTTTTAACTTGTGATAAGTGCGTATTGGAAAAAAAAAAAAAAAAAAAAAAAAAAAAAAAAAAAAAAAAAAAAAAAAAAAAGAAAAAAAAAAAAAAAAAAAAAAAAAAAAAAAAAAAAAAAAAAGAAGAAAAAAAAAAAAAAGAAAAAAAAAAAAAAAAAAAAAAAAAAAAAAAAAAAAAAAAAAAAAAAAAAAAAAAAAAAAAAAAGGGGGGGGGGGGGGGGGGGGGGGGGGGGGGGGGGGGGGAAAGAAAAAAAAGAAGAGGGGGAGGAGAAGGGGGAAAGGAAAGAAAAAAAAAAAAAAAAAAAAAAAAAAAAAAAAAAAAAAAAAGGGGCAAAAACAAAAAAAAAAAAAAAAAAAAAAAAAAAAAAAAAAAAAAAAAAAAAAAAAAAAAAAAAAAAGGGAGGGAAAAAAAAAAAGGGGGGGAGAAAAAAAAAAAAAAAAAAAAAAAAAAAAAAAAAAAAAGGGAAAAAAAAGAAAAAAAAAAAAAAAAAAAAAAAAAAAAAAAAAAAAAAAAAACAAAACAGAACCACCCCCCCCCCCCCCCCCCCCCCCCCCCCAGGCGGGAAAAAAAAGGGGGGGGGGGGGAGGGGAAAAAAAAAAAAAAGAAGAAGAACACACAAAACAACAACACAAGGAGAGGAGGAGAGAGGAAAGAGGGAAAAAAAAAAAAAAAAAAAAAAAAAAAAAAAAAAAAAAAAAAAGAAAGGGGGGGGGGGGGGGGGGGGGGGGGGGGGGGGGGGCGGGGGGACACACAAAAAAAAAAAAAAAAAAAAAAAAAAAAAAAAAAAAAAAAAAAAGCAAAAAACAAAAAACAACCCCCGGGGGGCACCACCGCGGGGGGCCCCCCCCCCACCAACCCCCCCGGGGGGGGCGGGGGGGGGGGGGGGGGGGGGGGGGGGGGGGGGGGGGGGGGGGGGGGGGGGGGGGGGGGGAAAAAAAAAAAAAAAAAAAAAAAAAAAAAAAAAAAAAAAAAAAAAAAAAAAAAAAAAAAAAAAAAAAGGGGGCAAAAGGGGGGAAAAAGGGGGGGGGGGGGGGGGGGGGGGGGGGGGGGGGGGGGGGGGGGGCGGGGGGGGGGGGGGGGGGGGGGGGGGGCGGGGGGCCCCCCCCCCCCCCCCCCCCGGGGATTTGGGGGGGGGGGGGGGGGGGGGGGCGGGGGGGGGGAAATTTTGTAAATATTTTGGTATTATCCCCCCAAAAAAAAAAAAAAACACCCCCCCGGGGCGCGGGGGGGGGGGGGGGGGGTTTTTTCCTCCGGGGCCCCCCCCCCCCCCCCCCCCCCCCCCCAAAGGGGGGGGGGGGGGGGGGGAAATTTTTTGGGGGGGGGAAAACCCCCCCCCCCCCCCCCCCCCCGCGCGGGAGTGGCGGGGGGGTAATTTTTTTTTAATAATACCCCCCTCCCCCCCCGGGGGGGGCCCAGAGGGGCTCGGTTTTTTGTGGGGGGGGACTGGGGGCGGGGGAACACCCCCCCCCTAAAAAAAACCCGCGCGTTGGAAAAACCCAAAAAACCCCCCTGGGGCCCCTACCATTGCGTATATTAACTATTATGGTTAAACTGTCACAATTCAACTTCTGCTCAGGTACACAAGTAATAAATATTACAGATTTGAAGCCAAACTATTAAACTATACAAAAAAAATTCAATGATTGATTTTTAATCGCGTTAAACATTTGAGGTAAACTGTTATAATTATAACCCAAATTAAACTTGTCAAGGTCATTAAAGTGGCTGTTCAACACATTAATATAAAAATATTAGTTTACTATCAACGCTCCTAATAATCCTTACGTCCATGTGAGTGACGGACATTCTCACATGGACGTTCGCTTGAATAGTTACAATTTTTTCCTATTTTTCTCTCATACATCTAACCCATTAACGACAAAATATCTTATATTTTCGACAAAATACTCTGAAGCCGCAGCAGCAATTACTAAACCAATGTAACCACTGTAGTGGACAGCTTTCAAGAAACCCCACGTTTTATCACAAAACACAGCTAATGAGAGCAAATGAAGATAACTGTGCGGGTTGACAATCCGCCACATACCCGTCGCCACATAGAACTTTGTAGATTTGAAGGCTGTTATTCGCCTAACGATATCGTATTCTAAACAATTTTCCAACAGATTTTGATATAAATCAATGTATCTATTCCAAGCGAGGGAAGACAAGAGCATCTGCCCGGAAAATAGACCCATCACCTGAACAATTCTCTGGAAGGACACTTTAGTTTTGTATGAAATTCCTATATCAGTCGTGTGATCTTTCTCGATATCTTCACACGAGTTAATTTCCTTTAATTGATGATAAGGTAAAGTGCTCACTGGAGTGCCTTTGTAGCCACGTCTCGGGGGATTGTTCTTAAGATACAACATGATCCCCACCATCATACATATTACCCCTAATAAATCACAAATACCGTCGACCCAATACCCCAATGTCCCGACTTCCGATCTCTCCCCTTTAATGTGCTTTCTTTCCCTAGCCACGTGACCGTCGAGGTCATCTAAAAACATTCTTATTTGAAACAATATTATTCCTATACGCCGAGCAGCTAAATTTTGACAAGTTAAAAGCTTGCCTCCAATGAGAGAGATAACAACATGGGTGAAAGATATCATGTTCGGTGTCAAAAATATGAGTCTATCAGATATTCCTAAACCTATGTCCAGAATCGAGCACAGCGGTCCATAAATGTAGTGATTTATGTGATCGACCATGAGGGCCTTCACGGTCGGGTGACATAAGGGATTAATACTACATGGGATCCAGACTTCGTCTTCATAATTCCTAAAAATACTCTTCGATGTCGAAGAATCTTGAGTACCATTTTCAAATTGTTCAAACTGGTCCAATCCATATTTTTGTATCCGTAAGTACAGAAGCGCGTCCATAAAAAGACAGTAAACGACGACTAGTAAGAGTAAAACTGATAGAATTTTACTAGCTTGAGACGAAGGCCACATCATCTTGTAATATTAAATATTACTCGTCCACGCATGTGCAGGTTTATTTCTAGTCAAGGACAAGATTAACACGGGTTACGTCAAAAATAAAAACTTCTGCTGCTTCCCAAACGGTGAAACGGTTTACACAATCCAAATTCCGTAATCCCATTTCATCGCGTAGGCACGACCGCACACGTACTATTTTCGATATCACAATTTAACGTTCGTAAAAATTTACATCAGTTGAAGGCCGTTCTAAATCTTAATCCGTTCACATTAAACTCACAACTTTTTTATGATCGCACTGCACATTCACGAAACCCGCACGACTCTCGTAAAACAACCGCATTTATTAGAAACAGTTCGTTAAATAGATGTCAACTCATGGAGCATGTTTACAATTCTATACAAAACTTGTCGGCAAAATGGCCCGCAGCTTAGGAAACTTTGAAGAAGCTTGTTGAATGTCTGAAGAGCATCGTCAATGTTTACAGAATAATTATGGATTTGCTGGAAACGAGCGAATGCGGCAACGTGCGTGCGCATACCCCGACCGCGGGCGGTAGAATGACAACAAAGTTTACGGCAGTCAAACAACAATGCATTACGACCAGCGTTGCCAGACGTCCCGATTTTTGCGGGACGTCCCGATTTTTATATCAAAATGAAATGTCCCGCGCGGGACAGGCTTAGTCCCGCTTTTCGGGAATAACTCGATGCAATAAGTGTGTCCACCACCGCACAATAATGGTACCAACTCTTTCAACAGTATCCAAAAATAAATACCAGGATTATCTTCAAACTTTATATTAAGTATCCAACCATCCAGTAGAATAAACACTTGTTTTGAACATATATGAAATACTGAGGCATTATTAAAAAAAATACATACATACATATTACAGGACATATTAATTTATCCTAATTATAGCCTTTGATTACTCATATGTATATTAGAAACTGCATTTATAAGAGCAAATTTTAGAGCATAATAAAGTTAGAATTTTTTTATAAATAAATAACATATAAGTAAATAGTAATTATGCATATAACTTCCGTTTGTTTTAGCAAGTCGAGATCAAATAAAAAATATAAATCTAACAACACATTTTGATTATAATAGTATTTATATGATCATACCTATTATGGCAAGTATTTCTTCTTACATAGATTTTAAAATAAAAAATTAGTTACATATAAATAGTACTAACCTGTGGCACTTGAGTAGACTTCCCACAACCCGTTTCACCAATTAATATCAAGGTCTGATATTTCTCCAACAAATACAATATGTGGTTTCTGTATTGAAAGACAGGGAGCCTCTGCCTTTGTGTTTCTAAAGGTAAGTGGTGATAGCGATTATATACAACATTAGTTTTAGAATCTGTATCTGTTGTTAAGGCTGTATCTATGTTAGGGTTTACCAGTGTTTCAATCTCCCCATTTTTGTTTCTAACTGGGTAAAGAATATCATCCGCTGAAAAAAGGTTTGTTTCAATTATAAACTGAACATATGGATTTGTGATAACTAGATGTCAATATTTTTTAGATGATAAAATATTAGAAATTAGTCCATGCAAAGTAATAACATCTCTTAATTGTTACAATATACAAAATAGCTGGTAAATTATGCAATATAAACCAATCTCAATTAAAGTGGTTTTATCCAGATATTGAGTAACATTTATTAATTGGATTTATATAAATTATTAAACACTCTAGTGACATGTTATTGTTTAAATTACTTAATAAGATTTAAGTCAATTGTTTATATTATAAATGTAAACAGGATTATGAACAATGATGTTTTGACTTATAATTATTGTCACAGGCATAGAGGGCTTTTCCGTTGTTAAGTTTTTAAATTTTCAATTTATAGCCTAATTATAAGAAGACGACATTAAGCTTAAAGATAGAGAATATATAAGTAAACAATTAACTTTTCAATTTTTGTTTGTTTGAATGTAGTGCCTAAAAAATTACATACCAGGTTTTTGAAAAATCGGTTTTCGTGAAATCATATTTGGTTTTAATAATCACTTAGTACTCCAACACCAATGAATCTGTTACTAAAGTAAAACTGCTGGTTGCAGTGTGACCAGATTTCATTTGACGAATCTACTCTGTGGAGGTTAAAAACTACTGAATTCTACCGAAAGGAACGAGAAAATACAAAAAATCTATTATATTTTTTGCTGTTGGTTTACAACGTAAAACAGAATTTTCTTGATTAAACGATAAAATAATAAAAGTAGTAAAGATTAATTAAAGAAGCGAAGTTTTTTTAATTTAATTCTTACTACAATTTTTTTTAAATTAATAATAATAAAATGAAACTTAAAGCTAAGATTTTTCGTCGTTATGTTGGATATTGTCATAAAGCTGTTTTGAGTCCATTAGCTTGATCATACTTTTGTCAGGATCAAATCTGCTACATCCTCCTTCCAACTGTCGTAGCCCTCTTTTCCATGCATAATTGCAGCAACATTCTTGTTATTAAAACGATTTCTATCTTGACTTTTAATTCTATTAATATCGGAAAATATTCTTTCAACTTTGGGTTAGACAGAGGTAGTATTGTCATTTGCTTCACAAACCGGGCCAAATTGCCATATTTTGGTTTGCTATTCGCATCGCAAATTTGGCTGACCTCACTCCAAAATTTATCCACCATAAAATTTTCAGAAGTTGAACTTGAAGTTGACAATAAATTAGACACGGAAACATCTAATTTTAATTCCCTATATTCGTTGTCAACAATTTGCATATTTTCTGTTGTAACTAAGTTAGGAAACCTTTGTAGTATTTTTTATTAGAGTTCGAAATTCACCATACATGCTTTTGGGGATCGATAAACGACAAATCCTGCAAGAAATTATCTTGTAAGGCAGTCTTTGGAGAAATTGTTTACTTAGCTCGATCAAAAATGCTTGACATCTGTTAAGAAACTCTTCAATTTTAGATTTCATTCGAACATCATCTTTTAATAATTCCAATGTTATGGCTAGTTTGTGCCCAGGTAATGTTTTGTAAGGAAGGAAATGATATTGAATGGGATCTATTGACTGAAGCGAGGTAGTTTTAATATAATTTATCTTCATAAAACAACTCAAAATGGAACTCATCATGTTTTGTATATGTGTAATATGAATGAGGTTGATACTTTGAAAAATAACGTTAAATTTTGTAGTTATGGGTAATATAAAATCTAAAAAGGAAAGATAAAGTTTTGTTTCATGTGTTAAGGTGATAAATATAAATTGACAAGTAGATTTGCATTCTTATTTCCTAAAAACTCATTTTGAAAAAAAGTTTTAATGTGACCACTGCTCTATAATTCGGTGAATGATTGATGAGAGAAAGCCACCTGATATATAGTGACGAAGCATATGGTGAGTTGGAGTGTCAGTAAAATTTGAAATTGACAAACTCTCTTTGAGTTGGTATGTGAGAGAAGTATGAATAAACATCTTTGACAAACAACTCTATAGAAGAGGTAATTTTTTGATGATAACTTATGAAAGATTTGTTGAGTGGCAAATACATTTAAAAAAATAAGTTTGGGTTGACTTCCTAATTTTAGATACCACGTATTCCTTTCGCCAAACATAACATTCGTTGTATAGAGCGAACCCTATTAAATTTTCTATGTTAAGGTTTCTTTAGATAAGGAATGTTAAACTATCAAACAAATATGGAGTTTCACCTTTTAAGTCCACCATACACAAAAATTTTGTTTGTGGAGATTGCAATTTTTTGAGTAGTACTTTATTGTGCTGCAAGTACCTTGGTAGTACTGACATCTGTGCTTTGTGATAATGAGGAAAATATGGGCTTCTCTAGTTTCATTTTCAGCTTGGACGTAATTTGCAAGCATTTTTTCTTCGAAGTTATTGCCTAAGAGTTGTAAGCAATTGGGAGATTTAGTTCTTCTACGAGGGAAAAGTTTTGCGATTTAGAGTCGTGAAATGCCCTTGAAATAACTTCGCTTAGTGATCCATTACGCGAAAAGGAATATTATGTTCACTAATGAGCTACAATGCTGATTTCTGCTTTTTTTACTTCTTCCGAAATAGTTGATGTTTTAAAAATCGTATCAATTGTAAACAAAAAAGTTAAAAATAAGTATGAGGACAAAAAAAAAAGTCAAAAACTAAGCAATCTTAATATATATAAATCTCGTATCACAATGTTTGTCCTAATGGACTCCTAAACTACCGAACCGATATCAATCAAATTTGCACACGTGTGTAGTTTGATCCAAATTAAAAGGTAGTTTAAATCTCAAATTATAGTCGCAATATTATTTTATTGCAAAATATTTGTTTATTATTTGATACAATTCTAACAGATGGGTGTGTTATAAGTATCAAGTTTACATAAGTTTCATTACCTTTAAGATAAGTTCTCCTACCCCTAAAGATGGGTGTGTTAAAAGTATCAAGTTTACATAAGTACCTTTCACATACGTTCTCCTACCGTTTCCTTGAATAGTTTACTACTATGTAATATAACAAAAACCTTAGCCACAGAAGCTTGGCCGAGTCTGCTAGTTTTAATATATCATTTAAATAAATAAACATGCATAAACACACATAGTTGTATAATAATAATTGTTATGTAAATGTGTAGATAATAAACATACTTAAAACAGCGAAAGTTTGTTTTTGAATGGAAATCATAAGGTTTAGAACATAATACGGGTTCAGATGAAAGTATTAAATTTTTTTAACAAAAATAATTAACTAAGACTTACATTCCACATATCAATGTAAGTACCTTACGTACCTTAGAAATGCCGGAATATCCTTTCATGTTTTTTATATGTTTGATGTAGCCATATGTTCCTTTAAAGATGCCACTCTACTTAGTACTTAAGTTGCATGCTTTAAATGAGATGTAGTGTTTACTCTAGATTTAGACAACCAACTTTTAAATGAGGGATCTTGCTCCCATTCATCGCGATATATTTGTGTATATTTACGTTTCATTATATACTGATTATATAAATTCTCAGTAAAGGTATTCCCACTAATCACAATATGTAGAGTACGGAACGAATGGTTTATAGTAAGAAAATAACGAAAATTAATAGAACTTACCACCCAATGATGAAAGGGGAATACCCCGCATTTATTCGATGTGAAAAAAGTACCTACTAGAATAATGATAAAGTGAATTCTACTAAAATATACCAAATAATTTTTACATACTAAATTTGTTGAGTACTAAAATCTACCAAAAAGTAGAAATACTAAATTAAAACTGCTGGTTGGACTGCTAGATGTAACTTAAAACTTTATTTAGTATTTATGTTTTCTCCAAATGTTCAAGAAACAAGACGAAAAATATGCAATATACATAAAAAAATTGTGTTTGCTACTAAAATGTAAATGACTATCATTATAGTTTCAGTCCTTAGGTAGATCAGTACCGGATTCCGGAATATCATGGATTCATGGCATAAAACAATAATAAGTTATTGATATAGATTTGAGATTTTCATATGGCAATGTCAAGTGTCAATTGTCAAATTAAAGTACGAGATCTCAACAAACTCAATCTTTCATTTTAAAGCGCGCGGTAGATTTGACCGGTAAGTTGGACTGAGTAATTTTGATACTTTTAGTTTATTTTATATTTTTATTCGATACATTATTGTGACTTCTTTATAGGTGTTTCCAGTACTACTATACGGAATCGTAGCTGAGGGCACATCGACTGATGGTGTGTTTTCTACGCATGGAAAACCGAGTAGATAAGGAGAAAATCAACTTTGACAGTTTCGATTTGCAGTTGATTGGGAATAAAGTAAAGGAATTCTATACAGTTCGGAAGGAAATTCCAACAGTAATGAAACTGTTACAAATTCTTCCACAAGATATTGATTTCAACGGAGGAAGATAATATCTGAGGTTAGATAAATATTAAGTAATAATCCCTCTCACTCTCACTCGTAAGAGAAGGCCTGTGCCCTGAAGTGGGATGTATATAGACTGTTGACGATGATCATGATGAATGACTAAGGTTTTGTTTGAGCTATTATTTTTTACAGACTTATACTTAAGGAGATTGGTTTTGAATATGTTAAATGCCAATCAAAAAGTACGATTTTGGTGAAGAGAGATGACCTCAAATTACAAAAATACAAATTTTTCAACACCATCCCTGTAACGCGCCGTAACGTTTTTCTGTACCCAAGTATAGTTAAACGTTTCGTGACCACCTAGTGACTGACCTTGTGATCATATCCGAAGTTTGTCAAGAAATAAAAAGGGCATCAAAAGATCACATCAAGGTAACAAATTTTCTTTATTATAATTTTCTCATACTTATCACTATTTTTCACTTTTAAGCATTTTCGAAAGCATTCATAATAATATTGGCGTATTCTGGATCGTCACACAATACATTAAGTGAATCATCAGTGGCTTGAGTGTCTGTAGTAGATGCTGGACTAATTGAAAATCTATTAGAACTTGGACCAGGCGCTAGTAGTGTGTGAGAATAATTCGTATTTCTATGTCTCAAATCGGTCAGTCTACATTTTGTCACAACTTTATGTATTTCTTCTTGGCCCAGGATAGCCTGTTCTGTGGAAAGTTTTCGTGTTTTTTTTTTTTTTTTTTTTTAAAAAAAAAAAAATTTTCTCCTCTTCTCTTTTTGTTTTTGAGAAGTCATTTTTTATCTCCTTCATGTTTTTGACAATTGAAGATAACTCTGTTAATCTAGACTTCTTCTTTGGTGCTCCCGGTTCTGGTGTAAGAGGTTGGAGTGCAGAAGCAGAGGGATCGTCATCAGCCTGCCAAATCCGACTTCTGGCTTTCGACTACTAACTGTTGTAACATTGTTTCTAGAGTTCCTGAAGATCGTGTCTATCCTAGAAAGCAGAGAATAGTTTGACGGGATAGGATCACCTTGACGTACTCCTCTTTTAATCGGGAATTTTTCTCCTGTACATTCTAGTTTGACTTACGCAGTATTTGGTGTAAGTATATGTTTTTGACTATCACCGTGGTTA